GGCGACACAAAAAATACTCTTTTTGCTTGTTTTAGTTTCACATCATCAAATTGTTGGGCTTCCAATTACAATGAACGTCCGTGTAAAATATGAGCATGCTACTTAACCCACACTGAATCAGTGACATAACCGTTACATACTGAGTTTAAAAAACATTATAATTAAAGCTATATCTGATCCTCAAACTGAAAAATAAGTTCATAATTACATTTTATCACTGATGTCTTTTTCAATTTACTTTACTGATTGTTTTGTTTATGTGAAAACTATGTCTAAAGTAGGGTATTCCGTCTTTGCGTATTGCAGAGTTATCTTCTCTTGAGAACAGGTATTGATTGTTACGTCATTGGTTTGTGAGAGTAACGTCATCAATTTTTGAGAAAATGACGCAATTTTCTCACACAAACCAATGACGTAACAATCAATACCTGTTCTCAAGAGAAGATAACTCTGCAATACGCAAAGACGGAATATGCCCTGGACTGTTTTCCGTGTTAATTTTAATACATCAACACAATACGAGTGCAACACAATTTTGGTAAAGGAGATCAGTCCACTGGGTTATAATGTTATTGGGGGGTGATGGGATCACCAATTTGTTTTGGACATTTTGTTTTCACCTAGTCATCTTTAGATGACTTCAACTTGTAACTAGGGAAAGTTCTACAGACAATATATACTACAGTAATTAGTGTCAACGGGATAGTAACAGCTAGGTAAGCATCAATTGTTACACACACAACAATAAAAGTTTAATTCAAAGTTGATACAGACAGACAAAAAGAAGAACTAAAATTGATACACCAAATCAAAAGGAAAGACAACATACACCCTACAAAAAATTGTGAGTGTAAGCCATGTGTTCTAGAAGATAAGGTTTCAGTATTCTTTTCCCCAGAATCTAAGCTGTAACTTCCCAATCTTATCTTGACGTTTTCCCAATTTGAAAGGTCAAACATGCGAAGATCTCCATAAACATGTACAGCCCATACATATAGTATACCTACATCTTTAAATATCAATGCTTTCAAACACCATGTTCATGTTAAGTATTATTGTTTCCTTTAAAAACAGGCATACTTTTTATTTTAGTTTATAAAGTCAAGATGCTGGAGTATTTTTCCTATTAGAAAAGGTTTTGATCTTTGCATAAAAGATAAAAAAAATCACCTCAATTAATTGACCCAGTTCTCAGTAATTACATTATGTACATGCATATATCAACCAATATTTTGTGTGTCTTGGCCTAGATGTATCTGATCTGTCAATCACCTATTTAACGACTTAAAGCTGTAAACATCACATTGGACATCAAGTGTTGAGTCTATTTATCTTCTATGTGTCCTCACTGACTAAATCAACAGAAATTTTGTAAACACTACAAGTCACAATTAAACATCTTGAAGTACAATTCACTGGCATGGTTTTAGCACTGTCAGGACAGTCTATAAACATTGATATATATTTATATACGTGTAGCTAGGTAAGGTAGTGAAATGTCTCGGAGAAAATTCATTTATATGAGGTACGTATACACATTATTTCATTCAAAACATTTAGAAAGAGGAAATAATAGAATTCAGAATGATTGTGATGAACACAGTAAAATCTCAGCCGAAAAGCCTCATTTTAGACAGATCAAATCTTGTCCCCATTGGTTGAGATTTTCCTGTATTTAAACAATCATTTTTTTTTCGTTTGTTCACCTACATTTAAGAGTTATTCAACAAAGTGGATTTGCAGCTGTCTTAGAAAAGTGTGTTGAAATTTCGGATGCATTCCTAGTATATGATAACACAGTATATGAAGTAATGACACTTTCCTATCGTGAAGAGGTTAACTGGGAATCACTTCAGACAATGTGTGAGCCGGTGATTTACACTACTAGACTGGGGTAAGGAATACAAATGATGACATATATTACCTTTTCTCTATCTAAAATGGGAAGAAACCTGTATTAAAATTTTGGAGAAATGTTTTTCATCAGAGACATCATATGCTACTGTAAGTATGTTCTTAAATATTTATTTATTAACTGCGTTTTGTATATGCGTCGTCCTTTAAAAGACATTGGCAGAACAGCTCTATTTGACTAAAATTGGCGCCAATAATTAACCATAGTCATTTGAGCGTCTGACGCAGGGGCATTCTCCACGTTATCCAAAGCGAAGAGACAAGACTCTCATTGAACAAGGTTAATCTATGACATCATAAGTAAACCACATGTTACGTCACAAGACTTTTTGCTTTCATACTCAAATGAAATGCAATTCTGCCGGTAATGTTCATAACTTTTATTAGTGGCTTGCAGCAGAAATGTAAATATATAAGTGTTTTACCTTTTTATCTTCGAGATTGAAAAAGTTTTGCAAGGCATTTGGATAAAAAAAGTGTACATTCAGTATGTATATAACCATCACAATGTCTCTAAGACATTCCATATCTCTTACATGATTGACTAACAGTCTGAATATATATTTGTTCATTTTCAAATCTGATTTCTGAATATTTATCGGTCATAAAGTGTAACTTATAATTGGCTATAAACTGATCTGTCCATTAAAACACTGCTGTCTGCCTTAGGTGGTCTTTATAGACAGGTAGGTTGCTTCCTACTTATCCATTAAAACACTGTTGTCTCCCTTAGGTGGTCTTTATAAACAGTTAGGTTGCTTCCTACTTGTCCTCTTTATAGACAGGTAGGTTGCTTCCTACTTATCCATTAAAACATTGCTGTCTCCCTTATGTGGTCTTTGTAGACAGGTAGGTTGCTTCCTACTTATCCTCTATATAGACAGGTAGGTTGCTTCCTACTTGTCCATTAAAACACTGCTGTCTCCCTTAGGTGGTCTTTGTAGACAGTTAGGTTGCGTCCTACTTGTCCATTAAAACACTGCTGTCTCCCTTAGGTGGTCTTTAAAGACAGTTAGGTTGCGTCCTACTTGTCCATTAAAACACTGCTGTCTCCATTAGGTGGTCTTTGTAGACATGCAGGTTGCTTCCTACTTATCCTCTTTATAGACAGGTAGGTTGCTTCCTACTTGTCCATTAAAACACTGCTGTCTCCCTTAGGTGGTCTTTATAGACAGTTAGGTTGCTTCCTACTTGATGTCTTTATAGACAGGTAGGGTGCTTCCTACTTATCCATTAAAACACTGTTGTCTCCCTTAGGTGGTCTTTGTAGACAGGAAAGTTTGCTACCTACTTATCTTCTTTATAGACAGGTAGGTTGCTTCCTACTTGTCCATTAAAACACTGTTGTCTCCCTTAGGTGGTCTTTGTAGACAGGTAGGTTGCTTTCTATTTATCCTCTTTATAGACAGGTAGGTTGCTTCCTACTTGTCCATTAAAACACTGCTGTCTCCCTTAGGTGGTCTTTATAGACAGTTAGGTTGCGTCCTACTTGTCCATTAAAACACTGCTGTCTCCCATAGGTGGTCTTTGTAGACAGGAAAGTTTGCTACCTACTTATCCTCTTTATAGACAGGTAGGTTGCTTCCTACTTGTCCATTAAAACACTGCTGTCTTTCTTAGGTGGTCTTTGTAGACAGGTAGGTTGATTCCTACTTATCCATTAAAACACTGCTGTCTTCCTTAGGTGGTCTTTGCAGACAGGAAAGTTTGCTACCTACTTATCCTCTTTATAGACAGGTAGGTTGCTTCCTACTTGTCCATTAAAACACTGCTGTCTCCCTTAGGTGGTCTTTAGAGACAGGTAAGTTAGTTTGCTACCTACTTATCCTTAATAAAACTCTTTGAAATCTCGCTTTAAGAAATGAGGAATTAGTTTTCAAAATACAGAAGAGCCAGATATTTTAACATCCAGTACAATTATATGGATTCTATTACAAAAATGTAAACAAGCAACTCTGAGTAAGGATATGCCCAACATATTAAAATTCAGCTCCTTTGTTGCAACCAAGAGCACTTGAGGTTTTTATAATTCACATAATCAATTTAAGTTGTAGAGAGTAAAATGGATGTACAGGAAAACATGATCCATACAAAATGAGACAATAATATAAGCAATAGAGATGCACTGTACAAAAACTGTGATTTTTTTTATCTTGATGCAAATGTTAGATGAAGACATTTCAATTAAGAATGAAAAGCATGCACTGAATAACACTATTCTTATAACATTGCTGTGAGTAGCATCAAATGACAGCTAATGGCTTTTGAGGCAATTAAAAAATATTAAATAATTTCAACTGATTGCTCAATGAACTACGGTGTTTATTAAACAGTAATTCTCTTTTGAAGCTTGTTTAAAATGTATAAGAATTATTCACCACAATTTTGCAGTGCAAGGGGAATAACTCTCTGCAATTCAGATTATCAAATTATATGATAACTTATATGATGTCAATATCTGATTCAAGTTCTGAATTGTGCAGAAGCCTTTCCAGGAACATTTTAAGGGGGAAATTGTATTTATTTCAAAGATATGTTAAAACAAGGTAGAAAAATGACAGTGTAATGTAAGAGAGATTTTACACATTCACATTGGCACCAAATTGACCCTTGGATATTCCTTTCTAAGAATTCCATTACTCTTTATAACAAAAAAATATATATTTTGATTTTAAAGTCTCCAAAAGGACAGTGGGGTAGTATACTGGTTGCAAAAGTCAGTGACCATTGATAATTAACAACTTAAGATTCTTTGCTGTAGGTTACATGTACCTTACAGTCAAATTAAACGGCACATGTACATTCATACATAGGTATTCAGTACTTATTTCACCACAGTGTAAACAGAAAGTATTTTTAGACAGAGGTAGACATAATATGGACGTGTGTTGAAAACCTTGGCCGATTTTTTCACATTTGCAGAATTTTTCTTACAGGGTAATGTCCCAATAACTGTCTTAACCAAAGCCTGCATTTAGCAGAAGTTACAGTGCAGTGTTCTGAGTATAAACTGACTGACAGTCAAACAATAGTTTTGGCATGTTTCCTGTTGATGTTAAAATATAAATGACAGTGCTGTGACTTACTTGATGATGACATCAGAGTTGGGTTGTTTGGCGGAGAGCTGGACAGTGAAGACAGCGTGAGAACGCGAGGATCTGTCGTGGACGGTTGTCGCGGCGACTCGTCTGTTAGCCTGACCCTGTAGTAACAAGTTCTGGGCCACATCCTCACTGGCCGCGTAATGAACAGACAGATTACGTACCACCCACACGCCACCCGCACCCTCCAACACGTTTACCTGTACAACAAATATTAGTTGAGCGATTAACGTGTGATAATTACAAACCAGAGTATAAACCTACTGATATATATATGTTATGTTATTTTAACCTGTTTACAACTGATAGATTATATATCTCTGAAATAATTATCAGTAAAGTAGCATGCACTCTTTAATTATGACATGCAAACTAATGTAACCTAAATCATGACACGCTTGGTCCATTCCCAAATTGTTGTATTTGAAGTAAAACATTAGGCTGGCTACTCTATCATGAATTACAACAAACTGATTGGTGTTAGATGATATGAAATCACGGTTTTGAAAATGTAATCATGACTTTATCAGTTTTTGGGAACCATTTTTTGGAAGGCCTAATGCCTAATAGTCTTGTTACATCACAAATAAAAATAAATGCTACTGTACATAATTATTAAGATAGTGGGTGTACTTGAGATTTGACAATTAGAAAAGCTCAAATAAGATCATGGTGAAAAACCTGTGTGTTTAGTACTTTACAGTGATTGCCTTATTTTGCAGGATTCAATTATGTACCTAGTATCTACAGTGTTTTTGGTAGATTTTTACAGACATGGGGTCTCAAAAAGGTGGGCAATCCCACAGGGAAAGCATGAGTCCAAGACTCAAATGCCAAAGTCCAAAAATCACTGTATCTTCCTGAATAATTTTTAATTCAAATCATAGTTTGATCTTCATTAACTTTGCACTTAAATAATTCTTATTTAAACGAATACATGCAAAAGAAAGCTGGCAGTCTAATGCATGATGACAAACATTACTCCAGAACAGGTAAAAATCATGGCTTATACATAGTAGCATTAAAGTGACCTTAAAGCTTCCTGGTGACCTTTAATTTGGAGACACAATAGACTGGGTCCTAAATTTAAGTGACTGTCTTAGTTACCTTGGGGAAGGGTGTGACAACAGACTGGGTCCTGGCACCGGGGTTAAGGAGATCGTAACCAACCTCCTTGTAAATTTCCAAGTAGGATATGTGTATGCTGATATCCTCATCCTGTCTTTTCTCCAGTTCCTTGTAGATCATAGACAGTGCCCTACAACATCAAATACAATACCATACGTATATATAATAACAAAATATGAAAAAAGCTATTAACAATGAGTCCTATATTTTATAGAAAGATATTGTTGACTGTCCTAGTTTAAGCTGTTGAATGCAAAATAAATTGTATAATTACATGAAACATTTCTGATACATTGTATCTTATTCAGTTTTATGTTTTAATAAATTTTTATATTTTTAATTTGAGTTAGTTGAAATATTTATATGTACTTGCTGCTCATGGTTAAAAATATATATGAAGGGTAAATTTTCATTTTGTATACAATGTTATTGAATTTGAGCAAAAAGCAAAAAACAGAGATTTCTGCTGATATACCAAAGGTCAAAATTTAGACCTAATCCTTATGAAATTTAGACATTCTCCCTTATTGAATAGAGAATATCTAGTCAAACAAAATATAACAAGAGGCCCAGGGGGCCTGTATCGCTCACCTGGATATCTATGCCCAGCTGCAATAATGGTATATATATGTCTATGGGTTCAGGATCTCAACCCTTTCAAAGTTATGGCCCAGAAATTAAGTCCCTAAGGGCCCCAGAAGAGGCAATACTAATATCATAATTGTGTGTCTCTTGATGCCCATCGATGGTATGCTCACTGTATATGGTTAAGGGGTGGGGATCTCAACCGTTTCAAAGTTATGGCCCAAAATTATGTCCCCAGGGGTGGGGCCAGAACCAAGAGTCAATATTAATATCATCATCATCATCAGATTGTGTTTGTCTCTTGATGTCCAGCAATGGTATAATTGTTATGGGGTGCTCATCCGTTTCAAAAGTTATGGCTCAGAAAAGAAGTTCCAAGAGGTATAGGGCCAGACCAATAGGTCAATTATAACATCATGACTGTATTCTTTATGTCTATAAAATGTATATATTGTAATTATGGGATAGAGATCTAAACTGATTCAAAGCTATGTCGCAGAAGTTAAGTCCCTAGGGGTGGGGCCAGACCCAAGAGTCAATATTAATACAGTATCACGATTGTGTTTTTCTCTTGATGCCCAGAAATTAAATGTATGGTTATGGGGTAGGGATCTTAACCGTTTCAAAGTTATGGCCTAAAATTTAAGTCCCTAGGGGTCGGGCCAGACTCAAGAGTCAATATTAATATCATGATTGTGTTCATCTCTTGATGTTCTGCAATGGTACAGTATATGGTTATGGGGTGGGGATCTCAACTGTTCAAAAGGCTCAGAATTCAAGTCCCTAGGGGTGGGTTCAGACCCTAGGGTCAATTCTTTTATCATGATTGTGTTAGTTTCTTGATTAGCTCTTTTAATTCTCAGCCAGTGTTTACATGGTAATACGGTTGGGTTCTCGATAATGCCAAGGTTAAAAATGCTTTTTGGTCCCGCCCCTTAGACCTAGGGATCAATTGAACCCTTCAACAGGTACAATTTTGAATCCTCCAAAACAAATATGGTTGAAATCCATCATTTTGTTCCAGTGAAGAAGAAATATGGCAAAATTTCCCCTTTATTGGCCTTGCCCCTCAGCCCCCAGGGGAGCCACATCTTCCATTTATACAAAAGAGAATTCCTCTTGCCCAAGGATGTTCTAAACAAAATTTGGTTAAATATCCCTCTATTCTTACAGAAGAAGAAGAATTTTAAATGATTTATCTAAATTCCCCCCACTAGGGCTCAGCCCATCAATTCCCAGGGGGGCAATATTGTCTATTTATACAAAATTGAGTCCCCTTAACCCAAGGATGCTCTACACCAACCACATTTGGTTTGAATCCCTCCATTCATACAAAAGAATGCTATGTTCTCCCTAAATGACCCCGCCCTTCTGTCCCCAGGGGAGCCACATGTACCCTCTGTTTATATAAATTGAAATCCCTTTGCCAAAGGATTTTCTAGCCAAAATTGGTTAAAACCCCTCCATTTGTACAGAAGGAGAAGAATTTTAAATGATTTACCCAAATTTCGTAGATAAGGGCCCTACCCCTCTGCCCTCACTGGGGCACTCCCTCCGTTTATACAAAATGAAATCCCTTTTGAATTGGCTGATTCAGTCTGTGACGTTAGGCACTAGTCCGATGCCCACGACTACTAAATTTAAGTCTGGACTAGTATTGAAAATATTTAACTAGTCCGACTGGACTAGTGGCAATTTAAATTTTACCTCCAAAATAATGGAAATATTGTTCATTGTATAAAATTTTGCACAATAAAGCTTGTCACAAGTTTTAATCCCATCGTAAAATATGGTATTCGTCGAGGCGTTCGAAATTGAAGCATTTCGATGAGCGAGACTGGGTACCGGATTTTAGAAGTTACCGAACATTACTTCCGGTTTATAACCACGTGAAACCAACCATGGCGATGTTGCTAAGCTGGAGAAAAAGTTCAAAACCAGCTAAGCCTGTCCGTGAACCGACAGAAAATGATGCTCTAACACGAAAGCAAAATTTACTGTTCTGGCTAGTGCTTAACGGCTCAATAAAAACAACAGTAAAACTGTATTAGAGATAATTGGCGATCACGTTCGGTGCTGTTTCTAAAGTTATTGAGAAACATTTTGTTTTGATTTCTAATATTTTTCCAATTTATATCACAATTTACGCTTCATGCTGTTAAAAAGACCAGTCTGTAAATTGGACTAGCAAATTTAAAGTCGGGCTATTAAAATTCTGGGTTTACTGGTCCAATTGACTAGTGAGGAAAAAAGTTAACGTCACAGACTGGGACTCAAGACCAAATTAAGTTAAAATCCACTAAGCTATACAGGACAAGTAGCGTTATAAAGTAAGAGTTGACTGACGGACGCTGCGCCATGGCATACTTAGCTCACTTGCCATACGGGCAGGTAAGTTAAACAAGAGGCCCATGGGCCTTAACGGTCACCTGAGTCCTACAGTAAAAAATTGTTTAGTATAACGTAAACTTAAGTTTGTCAGGACCATGAGCTGATCATTCCTACAAAGTTTCAGTTCAATCGGCCAAGTAGAACTTGACTTTAAGTTTGAAATAGTTTTTTCAAAATGGCGGCCGTGGCGGCCATATTGGATTTCTGATCGACCCGAAAAATAACATCACTTTGCCAGGACCATGAGTCGATCATTCCTATTAAGTTTCAGTTGAATCGGCCAAGTAGAACTTGACTTTAAGTTTGAAATAATTTTTCAGAATGGCCATGTCGGCCATATTGGATTTCTGATTGACACGAAAAATAACAACAATTTGTCAGGATGATTCCTACAAAGTTTCAGTTCAATCGGCCAAGTAGAACTTGACTTTAAGTTTGAAATAATTTTTCAGAATGGCCATGTCGGCCATATTGGATTTCTGATTGACACGAAAAATAACAACAATTTGTCAGGATCATTCCTACAAAGTTTCAGTTCAATCGGCCGAGCAGAACTTGACTTTAAGTTTGAAATAGTTTTTCAAAATGGCGTCCGTAGTGGCTATATTGGATTTCTGATAGACCCGAAAAATAACAAAACTTTGTCAGGACCATGAGTCGATCATTCCTACAAAGTTTCAGTTCAATCGGCCTAGCAGAACTTGACTTTAGGTTTGAAATAGTTTTTCAAAATGGCGGTCGTGGTGGCCATATTGGATTTCTGATCGACCCGAAAAATAACAACACTTGGTCAGGGAGATGTCAGTAGCCTTCCCATGAAATATTAATGAAATCCTTTTGCTAGTATTTCAGCTTAAGTTGAAAATGTTAAATGTTAACGGACGACGACGGACGAAGAAGGATAGCAATAGGTCACTTGAGCTAAAGCCCAGGTGACCTAAAAATCAATTTTCTAGATTTTGCTTCTATGTACCTACCTTGGCTGAAGTCCTCTATGGGCATAGGACTTAGATCCACCCTCCACTGTGAAGGTTTTACCTGTCCCAGTCTGACCGTACGCAAATATTGTCCCATTGTAGCCATTGAGGAAACCTATAATAGACAAACATACACATTAATAACAAGTCTTGATTTATTAAAACATGTTTACAATAAAGTTTATACACTACTCAATTAAATACTTCCTGAAAGTGTTTCCATATCTATAAAGAGCTGGATAAACATGGATTAGTAATGACTAATTTTTTAAGGGTTATTGGAGGCGGGATTAAAGAGTTTTAGTGGAAGCTCGTTTAACATGGATTAGTGCACATGGTGGCTAGATTTACAAGGGTTATTGGAGGCTGGACTAACAAGGATTAGTGGCAATTGGATAGACATTGATAAGTGCACATGGTGGCTAGATTTACAAGGGTTATTGGAAGCTGGATTAGTGGCAATTGGATAAACGTGGATAAGTGCACATGGGGGCTAGATTTACAAGGGTTATTGGAGGCTGGACTAACAAGGATTAGTGGAAATTGGATAGACATTGATAAGTGCACATGGTGGCTAGATTTACAAGGGTTATTGGAAGCTGGATTAACAAGGATTAGTGCTGACTGGATTAAGAATGGTAAGTGGTGGCTGGATTAATATAGATAGGAGACAAGAAAATAAGGATAAGTGGTCAGTGCTGGGTTAATGAGGATTAGTAGTAGCTGGATTAATGAGGACTAGTGGATGCTGGATTAATGAGGACTAGTGGATGCTGGATTAACAAATATAGTGGTAGATGGATTGTAAATGGATGATGACGTGGCTGCAGGATTAACAACCATAAATGATGGCTCAGGTTTAACAAAGATTATTGGTGGCGGGACTAACAGAGTAGTGGTGGCATGATTAACTAGAATCAGTTGTGGCCAGGTTGTTCCAATTGTAGACAATAATCAAGCTCACCCTCTACGATGTCCTTTGCCGCCACATCAAACACCTCCTCCTGTGTAGCTGTGTTGTTGAATATGTAGCTAAATTTGAACTCATGGCTTATCACAGCTCCCCGTGACTTCCCACTGGATGTAAAATCACGCAACACTTCAGGAACTCGTAAATACAGTGTTTCCTGGCTAACCTCGAACTCCGGGTAGTAATCTGGTGTCGGCTTTATACGACAGAATGTTTTAATCTGAGGCATTCTGCTGTTTTGTTGTTAATTACCAAGAATCTGAATACACAGAAACGCCAAGGTTAAAGGTCATCCTGTTTTGTATTTTTGTGAAACCACCAGGTTATACCAGTGAAACTCCCTGAAATATATAATGAAATATATTACTATACAGTTAGACAATTTTATCTCAACTTTGGGAAGCCACCATTAGCTCTTAATTATATGTACTGCTAACTGGTATGTAACACAACAATATTTTGGTGCTTCAAAAATGTTGTTACAGTTGTAGTGTACGTACTTTACAAGATTTAGGGGTCTCCCTTCCCTGTTGTCTAGGCTACAGGACAAGATGTTGGATACACCCTTCCCTGTTGTCTAGGGTACAGGACAAGATGTTGGGTACACCCTTCCCAACTGTCTTTTATGTATACAGGATAGGTTTTTAGGTATACCACCCTTAAAATTTTCAATTGTCAAGTTTACAGGACAAGTCTTTAGGTACACCCTTCCCTATTGTCTAGTATACAGGACAAGATTTTAGGTAAACCCTTCCAACATTTCTAATATACAGGACAAAAAATGGTTAAAATATTGGGAATTTTACTTAAAAGAGGTCCAATGGCTACATGTGCAAGTAACAGGACAATGATATGTGGTAGGGAAAAAGTTTTATATAAAATTATATATTATACAAGATATATATCTGCTATCATGTATCATACTTACATGGTCATATGTTAAATAAATCCCTTGTGATCAGGAATTCTGAAATAAGTTTGTCCCGATCCCTGTGTTATTGTAACTATGGCCATTTATATGTTAACTGTAAAGAGACGAGAACGGCCACACACATATTTCACGGGCTCAATGTGTTAGCTCCGCTAGAAACCCATAAAATAGTTGAACAATACAAGGCTCTGTGTAACTAGAAATGTGACTTTACAAGGTTTTTTAAAACAACAAAAACAGTTTTGATTTTTGACAATAGCTAATTGTACTTATAATGTACACTTGTACCAATGTATATATGGCATACCTTGTAATATATACCCCACCTATAAGGGTGAGTCAAGAACAATTTAAAATCTTAAAACTATTGACGAAGAAATGAACGGAACTGTTTTTAGCCACATAATCAATGGAGGGAGTGGGAAAAAATACTTTGGTTAAAATATATTATTTCATACTGTATACCTGTGTATTACAATTATATCATTAGATCATCTAATTATACCTGTCACAGGTTTTTTCAAATATGTTTGTGTTCCTATTGAAGAGTTTGTTGACCTTCAAGTATATTAACTATATACATGCAAGACATAAAAGTTTGGGTACAATATCACAACCCCCCACCACCTCCCCCAAATTCTGCAGCCCAGTTAAAACATTATTGACCCTCATTCACAGACTTTCTCAGGCCTGGACTTTTTCTTATATTTTAATTTAGAATTACAACTTTCAAGCTTGATCAAATTGAGTCAGGAAAAAATTAAGATTAGTATTGAAGAGAAAGTGTCAGAGATTTCTTTTTCTCTATCCATTTTTAACGTAAATTATGATTACCAAATGTGTTTTTTCTGTTGTTTATTATTATAGATTTCTGAATTTAGGATTTATTTTATCAAGTTGAAATTTAAAACACAAATTACCATATTAATATATCTCATTTGAAATGGCCATGAAATGTTTGCCCCATAGATGTGAAGATTTGTCAAGGTTATTACATGTACATTGTATGTAACAGTAGCTTTAACAGTCTTAAATACATGTGTACCTGTACATGTAAACGTATTTACAATGTAGTATTCAAAGCAAATAAATCAAATTATCAGATCTCATTGTGTTAAGTTAATTAACCATAAACCCTTTAAAAGATGACCAGATCTGTATTGATTTCTATAGGAAGGGAAGCAACCAGGAGTCAGCTTAAGGCCTTGGAGTGTATTTAAACCTTAATGGGTCATGATCAGAGACTATATAAATGTATGTACCGGGTAATTTGTAAATGGTAAACACACAATCAGGAGGATATTTTTCCCTCAAATTAAAACACATTGGAGAACAGATATATTTTATGCGAAAAATCAATATCACTAAATAAACACAAATAAAATATTTATCTGTAAATGGTAAAAATAGTTAAAACTATAAAGAGACAAAATGTAGCTTTTCAGGAAACAATTATATTGTTAAAATCAATGGAATTTGCAAACTTAAAGTTTGTTTAAAGGGGCTGGTCAGGGAAAAAAATACAAAATAAATGGGTCTAAATGCGTTCTCTGGCCTTCCAAAGGTTATACCACGGCAATATGATGGTCGAGTTCAGCTTGCAATGTCCAGTTTTGACCACTGAAGTATTGGGGAATCCCCGCGTAAATTTAGCGCAGATCTATTTATAATATGTCACGTGGTTGTTTCGAAAGTGAAGCAGTGAAGATAACAACAATAGCACGCCGTCATGTGCCATGTCAGACTCAACTAGCGGACAAGACAGCAATACTTTACGTAAATAATTGTTTTAAAAGGTCATGTATGATGCAAGTGTAGTATTCCTACCTATATGTTGTTGTTATATATAACGGTATTGATACCTCGTGCCTGACATGTCTTTTGCATGCATCTTTTTCTTTCGCCGCAATGTTTACATTTGGCATTGTTGATGACGCGCGTGCGGTCAAATTACATCACTGATCTGGGTCAATTGAGAGTTTTAGACTGTCAGGTGACGATTTAGGATTTCTTTAATATAATTATAATTTTTACTCTTAGGGAGTGAATTTCAGCAAAATTTGAATCGGTATATTTCATAAGAAGGTATTTTAAACATGTGTATGCCATTTTAGCAAATATGACATTTTTTCCCCGACCAGCCCCTTTAACATGTTATCTAACTTAGGACCTTTTACTTGAATTATGGTATAAATATATTATATATTATATAATGTTATAATGGCAGCTGAAAGTACAGCGTATCACCACCGACTTAGATCTAATTCTGTGGTATCACTTTCAATAAGCTCTGAGCTTATTTGTCATATATTTATATTTTCAAAACAATTACTCCATTCACATTTGTTTAATTATACTTCAAATTTGTACAATATTTGAATTTTTGAAAGGGCCTACATTTTGTAAATGAACAAAAAAATGAATTTGATGGGTCTTTCTTGCATCTCCACCATATTATCAATTGTCTGATGATTTAGGAACAACACATACAAAAAAATAAGCTCAACTCAGGTACATTATTAAAAATTGAAATATTCCTTCCTTTTAAATGAATTCATGATAGTTCTTGAAATATTTTCATTTAAAAACAAGTACAGTATGTAGCAATATACATCTCTAACATTATAACTGCCAAGTTCTTAGCAACGAAAAGAGATCAAAATGCAGGTCAATTCTTCTAATTGCAGACCAATCTTTTAATAAATACCAGTAAGTTTAGTGCAGACCATTCTATTATTATATATACATGAACTAACATGTCTTTTTAAAAAGTATTTTAACATGTATATACATACGTAAAGCTCTACAAATTTTGTAACACTTTCGATGGTGAGTTTAACTCATTCACCCCTACAATTTTTTAACTGGACTTACACAGCCGTTGATTTGGTAAGGTTCAAGTGTTTTTTTAGGGGTGAATGGGTTAATTATTAGTAAAGAAGTGCATAATGTAGGAGATTCCAAAACATACTGTAATATGTGCAGGTCAAGTGCAGGTCATCTGCAGGTTGACGTGCATAAATACAAGAGATCTGACGCTGGCCAGTTATACAGAGAAAAACCCCAGCAATAAATGAACCTATGAAATCCCTATGCAGTTCACAATTGAAATCATACAATCACTTGTTTGTTGAATTTTTAAGATCTAATATTTGTAAAACGCCTACCTCAAATATGTTAACACCTGATTAATTTTAAGAACAGCATAAAATAACCTCCATAGAATGTATTATAAAACACAAGAACACTTCCTTTCAGTACCAGCCAAGGACAGGTGAATTTAAACACATTTAATTTCTAAATCATTTTGGCATCTTACCAATAAATCAATAAGGACTCAGGTAACCTCACATGTTTAAAGTTGTACAAGAAAACATTACGGTCCATTCTATAGAGAACAAATTATCAGCTGCATGAATGTTCACCTTCAGCTCCCAAGGTTTCTTTACATTTAATTTCTGTGCTGTAATCACTATATAACATCTACTCTTTTCATGTCCTTGATAGATCTGAATCTTTCCACTTATAATACCGAGGACTTTAACATGATGAAATCTTCTGAAATATTACAGCCTTATACTAATCATATGTATGGCACCTTCCAATTCATTAGAAGAATCCAGCAGCTTTTCTTCCCAAGTACCCGGTACAGTGGCTGGATTATATGAGACAATTGGATAGATTGGAAAATTTTGTAAAGAAAAGGGCAAATTCATATAACCCCTAAAACAATAGTAATATAGGACAACCATTACAGTTTATATTATTAAAGGAAACTTGCAACTCAATATTATCTATCTATCATGCTACTGTGGGGCTTAAAACAAATGTACAACATTTTAGCTTTTATTAAGTAACCTATATCAATACAGCAATACAAAGTAAACTGAAATAAATGTTGTATTAATCACATTGAGAATGAAGTTTGATATTTAGTTGATAATGAGAAAATAGGAACAATCCTAAAAAGCTCGGCAGCATTATAATATCCTTGGCATCTTAACTTTATACCAAGAAGTAATATATAACGTTCAAAATAGCTTTGATGTAAGTATATGATTAAAGCTTTTCTAAATTTTACTCAAACAGCCAAATTGCAAATAGGCAAGAATATTGATCCAGGCTCTCCAGGCTATTGAAAAAGTGAATATTCCTGAAACCAGTTCATGATGTTAACTTATCCAGTGTAGTATATAAATAGTAAACACACTTTTCACAGGAAAATCAAGATGACAGCTATCGACTTCAAAACATTTCTGAACTTTTAACCATGCAGAAGAATCCGTCAGATGGAGATATGTTTCATTTGGAGGGAACTGAAGTGCAAAAATGTCGGCATTTAATTTACAATGGGTCGATCAGTTTGCTCCCAAATCCCACATCTCAGGTGACCGTACATTGAGATACCGTGCAAATCTCACACTTATCTTCAAGTCATTCAATGGTGAATTATTTTATGTACATATATCTCAATATAAATGTGACCGAATCTACTACACACAATTCAATCACTAGATTGTATCGGATTAAATCTATCAGACCGAATGACAGATACACAAAATTCTATAGGTTTGTGTATACAACTTAAGCTAGCCAAATCTTGGCTCCAAAACTTGAGTTGTCAAGGAAAAATAAGTGACTCAGGTTTTGATGGAATAAGCTTTTTGCAATACGAATGTACATTTTACATAAAAAGTTCAACTCATAACAAATATTTTTGTTTCATTTTTGTGACAAAAGCATGTCTGCAGAAAAGATTTTCTATGACATTTTTATTTGCTGTGAAAGACAGTTTGTGAACAATACATTAGTCCTTTGAAGAAATGTTCTTGTTCAACGTAATTATGACTAAAAAATAAACAATGGAAAGAAAATCATCTAGATTTGAATTAGCAAAAATCTAAAATATTGAATTTGGAAAATGTGATCTACATGATAGACCTCAAACTTGCAGAAAACAAATTGAAATCATCCACCTGAACTATTTTACTATTCACCGTTATCAATACTATAAATCATCCCAGCTAGTGTACATGTAGCATTTGTACGTTTCCTCCACCCTAGCTGGTTTACATTGAATTAATAAAAAACACCCACATTATTTTGTGCGGTCCAAATATTAAAAAAAAATAAAATTATACAGTATAATGTATCTTATTGCCAATTCAAGGTATACAAATTTTAATAAAAATATACAGATAAAGGAAAAGATTTTGTAATCACAAAAAGAGAAATGAAATTCAAAACCTACCTGAACCTTCTAAAGCGATGACTGCATTGATATTAAATTGTATAATCTGATTGTGCAAATGATGTTTTAACAATGTTTGTGTGTTTCTCTCTCCCTTAATCTTCCTGGAAGTAAAGAGTACCATCAGAATGGATAGGTATATATATGCTGTAAACATTTGCGGTGATCATACATGTCATTTAGAGCTGAAATAATGGCTTATACAAGTACATCTATATAGTAGATAATGTATGACGTTGAACCATTGTATACACAGCATGTTGACTTGTTTTATTAAGTGCCTAAATTTCTTCATTTCGTTTCTTATCTGAAGATGTTAATGTAAGTGAGACATATTTTTCGTGGACAGAGATCAGGTAGATAAGAGGATGGCTGATGATACCTGGAGCATACAACAACGGTCCACCCTCGATCCTATCAAAGAAACTGTCTGGATACTGATAACACACATCGACGTACACCATTGATCTCCGAGTTCTACAAGATAAACCTCTTATCACCGCAAACAATGCAGACAACTTATGAACCAAATTTATGAAAGAATGTTTACCGATTTAAATGAAAGTAAATATTAACGTTTATTACCTAGGTAAAGGCTGATATGAAGATTTGTTTCCTGAAACGAATCATAAAATGACTGAGGTTGCATCCTGAGGGAAACGCATATTATGAAACCCTCAAATCACAGTATCTACCACCAGGGGAACTAATTGATTATTATACTGGGAAAGAACTGAAAGTGAAAATATACTGGGTATCACTCATTAGATTACTTTTACTTCTGTTGAAAAAATGTCGTGTGATATTTGTCCAAAGGGTAGAAATTCTGCATACACCAGATGTGACACTCCTGACGATGTGGGGAGGCAGGGAATATCCGAGTTCACTTATTCAAATAGCTTTTCCGTCTGATCAACCCATATATTGTCTGATATATGTGGGTGCATTATATGGATTTATATGAAAAAGTGTACCATGTTATAATACCACCCTTTTTAGGAAGAACTAAACAGTATATGTATATATATATATATAGATGGGCACATCCTCAAAATTCCAGGGCTTACAGTCTCTTCTGTCTTCTTCATCCCTGGGATATGTTGTGACAAAATCAAAGGCTCTGTATGCACCACCTTGACAGTTGTGGATGTTTATACAAGGAGACAAGTTTAATCCTTTGTTGTACATCAATAGAATAGTGCAACAGCGCAACAGTAGATCTGAGGCTCTAGAGTTGTGTACATGTGTTAACGCTGCTCCTCTGTAATCTTAAAAGGATAGGTATCAGTCTTTCGATTTGTAATTTTGTTTAAACCTTTCAAATAGTTATTATGTAACATTGTGCCTTCAATTTTGTCATAACATATTGTATGAAATTCAAGGGTGTAGAGTGCCCCTGTTAAACATGACTAATTAACAAAAAGAGGTGGTCCGTGAGCTATGTGTTGTGTCATAGTAGATTTTTGATTTCAGCACCTTTAAACTCTCTGATACCAAATGATGTTGAAGAATTCCACATTTTCATATAGTAGTGCGCTCTGGCCCCAGTCATCAGTCATCTGATCAGTCAAAATGTTTTAGCATGGTGTCGGGGCCAGAGGAAACTCGGGCTATAAGGTAAGTCTTGTTGGTTCAGATAGCCTTAAAATTATTTACTTGCTTGCTCTGGCGTTCTTCTTATTTTACCTTCATTGAACCCCATCTTCTACTTCACTTTACTGCTAGCAGATAGTCGAGGAAGCCTTGCCCTTCCCCTCTGTGTTTTTAGATTGATGCTCTTATGACTGGATGTTCAACTTATTGAAGGTGAGCGTTTTTACGGACGAGGTGTGAAGTCAAGTTTAGGGAAAATTTAGTCCGAGTTTATTATATAACCTGGAGGAAATAGTCAGCAGTGACCTCACCAAAGATCCCCGGAAATTAAGGTCCTATATGAAGGGTAGGAAGCAGGACTCCAGCGGAATCACTTCACTCAAGAACAGAAGAGATGGCTTCCTTCACAGTGACACGCCGACCTTGAAGGCCACTATACTTATATTAACCAACTATCCCAGTCGGTCTACACTAGAGAAGATAATGAAGATATACCAGACAAAGGGCCCAGTCCTTTCCCTTCCATGCAAAGGATTCAGATCAGCGCTGCAGGGTACAGAAGCTGACCTTGGATGCATAGGCTTGTAACCAGGACCAGAGCTGCCAAACCGATGTTATCTTACTGGACTTCACAAAGGCTTTCGACAAGTTAAGGTTCCTTATAAGGGACTACTAAAGAAGCTGGACTACTATGGAGTGAGAGGTGCTACCCTGCAGTGGATCAAGGATTTCCTATCCAAACAGATTCAATCTGTTGTATTGGAAGGCCGTACCTCTGATTCACTTGATGTTATCTCAGGGGTTCCCCAGGGGACAGTACTCGGTCCACTTCTTTTCCTGGCCCATATCAACAACCTGCCTGAATCAACATCAGATGCCAGGTTATTTGCAGACGACTGTCTCCTGTTAGGCTGCATTAGAACATAATGCGACGCCCAGACATTACAGAATGACATCACCTCACTAGAAGAATGGGAGGAGAAATGGCAGATTCATTTCAATCCTGAGAAGTGCATTGTCATAAGGATCTCAGGGAGGAGACAGCAGTTACCAACATCCATTTACCCTGCATGGACACCAGTTAGAAGTTTTTTACAGCGGAAAGTACCTGGGAGTGCTTATCAACGAGAACCTCACCAGGAACAAACACATAAACAAGTGTGCCGGCATATAGGCATCAAGGACTCTTGGGATTCCTCAGAAGGAACATCGGTAGGTGTACCCCGAGAGTCAAAACCAACATGTACGTACTACAGCCTTGTCAGGCCGACCCTGGAGTGCACAGCATCAGTGCAGGATCCACACCAAGCCGCCCTTGTCGCAGAAGTTGAACAGGTCCAGCGACATGCTGCCTGCTTTGTCTACAATAACTACTATTCCAGGACTCCCGGATGTGTTACAGCCATGATAGAACGACTTGGGGATGGGAATCTCTACAACAACGTGATCCAAACAGAGACTTATCACATGCTATAAGATCATGCACAAACTAATTGATGTTGACCCAACCCCATATAACAAGGCAAGTGACAGCAGAACAAGAAGACAGCAGACTACGACAGAGGAGAGTGAACAAGGAAGTCTACCAGTATTTCCTTTTTTACCAGATCCACCAGGGAATGGAATAAACTCCCAGAAGAGGTAGTAACATCAGCTACACTTGATGAGTTTAGGGCCAAGCTCAATACCGGCCATTGCTTGGACGCTCAGCATCCGGTAGACTAGCAACCTCCAGTCCTGTATATAGTTTTAACATGACTGTTTTTAACCATTTGGTGAAGCCTACTTTTATCAATCAATTGCGCTGATTCAATTTACAATTCAGTATTAGGAAATCAACTCAATACCGAAAGAAAAAGAAAAAGAAGAAGAGTTTCCGCTTGCCTAAGACTGGGTGTCAAACCCAGTCTTAGACATTTTGACAGATAGATGCATGCCTGGTGTAACCTAAAGCTCCTACAGTATAATGTATCTGTCAAAATCAAACACACTCCTTTTTCATCTGTTTATATCTTGAATAAACGTTAGCGGATTATGTGTCATCGATGGCAAGTCGGTACTTTTAAGTGTTAGTCCTTAATCAAAATACATTTCTTAACATGGCACCAAGCTATAACTTACCTGCCACTGCCAAACGCGTTGGCACCAAAATTAGCCAAACTTTCACGTGTTCGGAATTTTATAATAACGATTCCTAAGAATAGATAAAGTTATGTGCATACCAAATTAGTGTTCTCTGTATACTTACATGTTAGTTCACTTCACAATTTGAGCTAATTAATCCCTGTTGGCGAAATGTCACTTTAGTTAAAGTTCGACGGTCCCAGCATGTTTACCGTGCCCGCCATACTTGTTGCCACGGGCTAGCTAAATTTAAAAATGTGAAATAATACGCAATGTACCCAGGTAATATAAATATATAGTTTCCTATTTTTTCCAAATAAATAACATTTTTTACAATTCTTTTCTAAACAAATTTCTTTAAGCTTATCTAAAGATACATTTTATAAATAATGTTGTATTTAAGTTTAAATATTTCCACTTGTTTTAGTGTTATATTTTGCAATATGTATATTACCAAGCACCTGCTAAAAGAAAGATGGCTGACATGTAAACAATTTTGGCTGGCAAGGCAACAGGAAATGGAGAAATGGGTGATTTGTAGAATTTTCAGTTGATTTATTATACTTCTGGTTTGACGACGACTAACTTATGGTACGTGTGTGATATTCTCAACAATGTTATATACTTTACGATATCCATTTTGTTTTGTCAAATGTTAAAAGGCCCTAGAAAAAAACAGCCATGATTATACCTCATCATCATCATCATCATCTTCCTGGACAGATGCTGACCCTTAGGGGTGCGCTGCTCAAGCGACATGGTGACCATACCTGTATATGTGTATTAGTCTGTTAGTACACTTTCACTTATATAATGTTAACAGGTCCATCACACTCAGCCGATTGAGCTAAAACTGATATAGCTGTTAAGACCACCAATACAGTCATGAAGTGGGGAAGGGCCATTCTTATTTTCTATCCCGATTTCAGCTGACATATCTTAAGAAATATTTCAATGAAACAAATATTTCAAACTATCAGTTATTCACATTTGTTCGTTACAGTGACAGTTTGAATGACACTAGACATATATTGGTTGTTGAAGTAAATACATAAAATGTGGGTATACAATTTAGCTATACTTTTTATGTGATCTATGTTTGCGATTATGACAAAACCAAATTGGATGAAAATAAATGCGTTTCATGTCTACTTGCTCTAATACTACGTCAAACTCAGATGCAAATGTTGTTTGGTAAAATTTTCACTTTTAGATATTGATGTGTGAATATATAACGTTAGTGCAGGCAAATTCGTCACATTAGTCGGTCCACATTTGTGACATCATCAGGCCTTCTGTGGTTTTGCTCAAAGGTGCAGGCAGTTTCGCGACCTTCAAACATTTAACTAATTTACAAGTAATGTAAGTGTTGAAATGTAAAATTTTGTATGTTTATGTTATGCAAGCCGCACTGATACCAACAGCTCCAAATGTGTTTGTGTAACAATGATAAGCATTGAAATACACGGCTTTTCTTAGTTTTGATAGTTAGTTTTCGGTAACTTGAAGAAACTGATAAACGTTGTTTTAGAAAGATGGCTGGTATCGACTGAGATGATGTCAATTTACATGATACGCAATAAAGACTCGGTCCTTAACAAATATAAACTTCCAAATCGCTGTCCAATATTATATTTGGTATCTGGTCCGAATGAGATGGTCCAGGGCTTTCAACGATCCCCCCCCCCCTGACTTAAACTACAAATTGCATGAAAATGGAAACTGACGAATGATCAAATCGCGGGGTATCTTTCCGATCGTCATTTCCATAAACACGCATTGGATTGTCAGTACAAGTAGAAAAACAATTTACTTGCATTAACTGCAATTAGCGTTAAGATATCGGTATTTTCATGTGTATATGATAAATTTACACCAAATAACAACCAAACTGGCCTCAGATTAATGAGTTTAGTTGACGAGATGTCCGTCACACAGACCAAAATTTTAAGATTTGTTGTGTTACAAGATAACTGTTTTAATTAAAAGTATAACTTTTCTCTTATACCTCTTCTTATCAAATTATTTGAAGGCTTTAACTGTATTGAGGACTATGGTGACGTTATTTACGTCACATCTTATGTATTATGACGTCATATGGCATTTTCGTCACAGGGTGGCGAATTTGGATGCATGGCGAATTTGCCTGCACTTACACTTACATTATGTAACGTTACATGGGGTATTTCTGTAGCGAAACTGGACTGGGTCAATAGTCGGCGACCAGAAAGCTCAATTGGCAGAGCATTCATCTAGATTTCGGAGGGTCCCCGGTTCAAACCCAGGTCAAGCCGAGCTTTTTTCCGCTCCTGTTTAACATTTAAATAGAAGGAATACAAGTGATTTGTCAGCAGATTTCAGAACATTACAGTTGATTACACTGCAAATATATGACTCTAAAAAGTCGCAACATCGTTAAACTGGCTCTTACATATACATAATAACTATTCATTTTATAATAAATATTCTGAAGAAAAAGAAATTCCAATCAAAATGAGGCAATAATTTAGATTGTAAAATGATGTAACAGGAAAAAGAGAGAAAGAAACGGCCAGCCAAACTCTAGATGGGTGCTTTACCAATTGAGTAGTTTCTTGTCGCCGACGCAACCCAGTACAGTTCCTCTACGATGGGAAAGTCCATATGTATGTTCATTGCTCAAGACTCGCTTTGTAGATGTAAGTCTGGATATAAATTGTCATATTATAACTGTACATTTTTTTTTAAAGTTTCATTCCTTAATGTACAGGTTTAATACTAACCACAATATCTCTTTTTGTTCAGCTCTGAGAATAAGAAAGATGGGAAGTACAGCATCCAAAGATACAACCAGTCCCCAACAGAAGTTCCTGATTGGCAATTTGTCCAGGAAGTCAGATGTTGACCTGAAATTTTACCAATTGAGTTACCACTGTCTTCAGAATTCCCCAAGTATGATAGACAACAGAAACAGAGATAGAAAAAGGAAGGGGTTAGAGAAAAATAGAAAACAGATTCAGAAAAGTCAAGGCAAACATGTAGAGAATGAAATCAATCACCTGGAACATTGTGATTCATTAGAGAGTAGACTTAAGGCTAGAAAAGATGTTGATGAAAAATTAAGTCAAAATATAAGTCATGAGTGTGTTGGTGATGACGCTCTTATTACCTTTCCTGATTTGTTTGTTCCCATCCTTGGTACAAAAAAGCTGATGTGTACACAGACATATGTAGCTTGGCGTTCAATTATGGACCTAGAAAAACTCAAGTCACTTTTTGTCAAGAAAAGAACTATATATCTTGTGCAGGTAGATAGCTTTCCAGACTTCCTAAGTAATTTCCGTATCCTGTTTGATTCCGAGGAAATGACATTATTCGAGCTAGCACAAACATTTCTTCAAGTGTTTTTCACAGGAATGAGGGTAAAATGGATTGAGGAAGTATCCATAGCACAGAAAAAATGGAACATAAATTCAAGGCATCATGAAAAGACAGGAAAATTTCAGTATTTAGTCACAGATTTTTTTCCTCTACTTCCAAAAGTTTGTCCAAAAGATGGCTATTGCATAATGGGGTTGACATGGGCAGACCTGTACCCAAAAGAAGAACTGAATTTTGTGCTTGGAGAAGCCCACAATCCGTTCAAGTCTGGGATGGTCAGTTTTGGACGATTTGAACCTAAGTCTTACAACGAGGAAACCCATAAGGATGTTACATCAGTCACCACCGAAGTTGTTTGGAAATTGTTAAAGGTAAAAATAATAGATGTAAATGTTCATAGGAAAAAATCAATCTAATTAAGATTATACCTTCACATTGCTCCCTTTTACTAATATGTTGCGACATATCAGTTAACGGGAGCGATGCTAAGATCTAATTTTGATTAGATTGGAACAAAATGCAACACCAATTTTCATCACTAAATTGGTATATCATGATTATTTATAGAACTTCTTTCACTCTATAAGCCGTTAGATTGCAGTATTGTTAGCTAGGATACAGTATTGTTAGCTAGGATACAGTATTGTTAGCTAGGAAACAGTATTGTTGGCTAGGATACAGTATTGTAAGCTAAGATACAGTATTGTTAGCTAGGATACAGTACTGTTAGCTAGGATACAGTATTGTTAGCTAGGATACAGTATAGTTAGCTAGGATACAGTATTGTTAGCCAGGATACAGTATTGTTAGCTAGGATACAGTATGATACAGTATTGTTAGCTAGGATACAGTATTGTTAGCCAGGATACAGTATTATTAGCTAGGATACAGTATTGTTAGCTAGGATACAGTACTGTTAGTTAGGATACAGTATTGTTAGCTAGGATACAGTATTGTTAGCCAGGATACAGTATTATTAGCTAGGATACAGTATTGTTAGCTAGGATACAGGAAGATACAGTATTGTTAGCTAGGATACAGTACTTTTAGCTAGGATACAGTACTGTTAGCTAGGATACAGTATTGTTAGCTAGTATACATTATTGTCAGCTAGGATACAGTACTGTTAGCTAGGATACAGTATTGTTAGCTAGGATACAGTATTGTTATCTAGGATACAGTATTGTCAGCTAGAATACAGTATTGTTAGCTAGGATACAGTATTGGTAGCTAAGATACAGTACTGTTAGCTAGGATACAGTATTGTTAGCTAGGATAGAGCACTGTTAGCTAGGGTACAGTACTGTTAGCTAGGAAACAGTATTGTTAGCTAGGATACAGTATTGTTAGCTGGAATAGAGCACTGTTAGCTAGGATACAGTACTGTTAGCTAGGATACAGTATTGTTAGCTAGGATAGAGCACTGTTAGCTAGGATACAGTATACATGTTAATTCTAGTTCTGAGGAACTGCTCGAACTCATTTTGAAAGCAAGGTAGAATATTAGATTTACACACCAACCATTATGATGAGAAAATTCAACTTTCTTTAATTTTTTAAACACAATGATATAAATAACAATTCACAATTTATTTCAATTATTTCAATATCAAAATGTATTAATAATTTCCCATGTCTTCACATCTAAATGTGTCTGACAATCATAGGGCATCTCACTTCTGGTTTAGACAACCTAAAAATAAGCTCAAGTGTTTATTATGATATAATGGTTATTATAATATTTTTCTCTGACAAAAAGAAAATCGTAATATGGTGTTTCCACTGTAACATAATACAGGCACTTGCCATTATATTAAAATGTAAAACATATCTTACTTCTCGCACAAAAATTGTTCTAACACAATACTCAAATACCTAATTTTACAAACAAATACAAATTGTACTGAACCTTTTTTTTGTATCAAATAAGCAGAAGTTGCAAGGAACCCTAATTTGTATACAAATTAATCATTTACTCGGGACCACACTTTTGAAAAGAATAGCGGTATCATTGTGCTTTAGATAATTAAATGTGTCAAATTGAATTAGATTGTGAGATATATAAATTGGTTGTCAATACGCATGCAAAATACAAATGATTTTTGAAAATCATTATAGTCAAATTGAAAGTTTATATATATTGAAAGTTGCATATAACATATACAACAACATCGGGCATGTAAACTTATAAGTAACATCATTCTTTTCTATTATTCCTTTTATGTGTTATAATGAGTTCTAGACTCAGTTAAATTCTCATTTGTTAACCTATAAGAAACCACCTGATGTGATCATGACAGCTGATGAATATTTGGTTGTAGAATTCAGTTTTAGAAAACGTACACCAGCAGTGGATCAAATCACTTATCAAGTGCAAGATAGACAACAAACAATTAAGATCTTGATCATGTGTTATACAGTGTGTGGAAAAACATCTTATCAGTAAGCCAGGGGAGATAATAAAACACTTTTTCTATTAAGACATTCTTTGATGTAAAAACTATTTTTAAGTATGTTAAATGTATGTCATATGCTGTAAAAAAATCATATTTTCTATTTTCAGTGCCTTAGCCATGAGCTTTGTCACCTGTTTGGAATGGCCCATTGTGACTTTTTTAGTTGTACCATGAATGGAAGTGGTTCTGTGGGAGAAGCCATGGATCAGCCATTGTTTCTGTGTCCGGTGTGTACCAGAAAACTCCAACACATTTGTAAATTTGACATTCTGGAAAGATATGAAAAAATTGGAACAATTCCTTGTGGAGATTAACAGAAAATTTCCATCTGAACGTTGGGATAAATCTCTGCTTTGGATACAAAACTGCTTGAAATATTTAAAAACAACTGCAACATATCTTTGATTTTTATTAAGTGCTCCAGTAGGGATACATCCATCAAAATTTAAAAAAAAACACTGCTTTATTACAGATTATCACTAATCGTATGTGTTATCCAGGCTTGTTAAATACAACCACTTACAGCATCCTGGATAATTCACCTTGTCAGCTACTTAAGAGTTTTATGAGATTTTACCTGTAAGGTATTTTGGTACACAGAATGATAGGAAATATATTTTGTTTCAATGTGAGGTGACAAAAAGAAAAAGCCCATTTTGTTTTATTACCATATTTGAAGTTAAACCTGTTTTATCCATAGGGTATTAAAATTGCACTTATAATTATACAGGATGTACAAATGATCTAGAACACTGATTGGTAAGCAAACTTGTAGTCAGTTTAATCACAGGTATCTGCATCTGGAACATAAGATATAAAATAGTCTTCCCTTCCCTACTATATTGACAAGATAATTACACTCCGAAAACTGCAAAACAACCCCATACTTCTGTTCCAGACTTGAGACGTCTGGAGCTACATGAATGATTATATGGTGAAAATTGCTGCTGAATCAGTGATGACCTTTAAATCTAAGTGTTCATTAATATTATTTTCTTGTTTCCTAAGACTGTGTAGAGATGATTTATGATTATATACACAGTATAAACTATTGTTATTTTTTATATATGAAATAAATTGAGGTGCTGATTGATACCTAATGCATTAATCTCATTTACCAGGACAGTATTCTCATAATGATGGTCTATTCAGTTAATTAGCCATGTTCAAAGATAGAATTTACAGTCTGCTACAAAAATAATCCGAAATTATTTTTGGAAATTAATCTCATTGGGTACAATCGTACTGGTGTCTTAAAAATTGTGCCCCTTTTATTACTATGATGTCACCAATAGATAGACAATCTATGACATCACACAATGCTGTACTGTTGCCATGCACCTGAAGAACTAATACTGTGATAACGTTACTGCAAAATGAAACGTCTTATTTTGTCCATTAACTTGTTTTTTTATTTATATAAGTCTAAAATCATTTGAAGCAATGATCAAATTAAAATTTGGTGGTGTAACATTAAATCTTACCATCATGTTCTGAGCAAGTGTCTGGATTGTGGGACTGCCGAGTTACTTACTTAAAAGGAGGGTTTTGCATGAGAAAAAAGTTAATCAGCCCCTTGAAACACTGGCTGGATAAAGGGACTACCAGATCTGTGGTAACGGTGAAACGACTACTTCAATGTGGCTTAACAAATCAAATTATACATCATATTTTGAATTGTTCATTGTTTCAAATGATTTTAGACAGTTATATATGCATATACATATATATATAAAAAAACATTTCATAATATAAATTGTATGTGGCTGAATAGTTGGGCAACTAAATTAGAGATGGCTGGATAGTGAGACAACAGCATAGGTTGTGACTTGATAGTGAAACAACAGCATAGGTGGTGACTTGATAGTGAAGCAACCAAACCAATGTCAATGGTAATTAGAACCATGCCAGGTCAAGTACCTCCTGAGATTCTGGTCAGTTTATGACTTGTTGCCTTCGTCAATGAACACACCACCTGTTCTCTGTAACAAACCAGACAGCCTCACCAATATTATGTCTGCATGTAACACAACACTACAGATGACGACACAACATGTTGCCAAGTAAATCTGCTGACATGCTGGAGAGAGAACGAAAGGAAAAGGATAAAGCTATGCAATGATCATACCTTCATCAAATTCGTGCAAAGGAATGAAGTCAGAACCAAACAATAAATGAGTTCTTAATTGGGTAAAGAAATGAGGGTGAACATAAACAATGAAACCTATTTTCGCAAACCAACAACGAAGGGGAAAACTAATGGATAATAGCACAGGGACCTGCAAATTTGTTACAGCTATATTTGGAACTAAACTATGGTGTTCAGAGTAATTTTACATGTTTTAGGGGTTAAGATAGACTTTCAGTGAAGATGCCACCTTCTATGATTATATATATAATCATTGTGGGTGGCATTTTTACCAAAAGCTCTCCTCCCTCTTGACACACAACCAACTGAATGCTTTCTCTGCTGACTGTCTAAGTTACTGTTGAAACAGAGGGCACCTGTGTTAAGCCAATTAGTTGTGAGTGCCGCAAGGTTCTTTCTTCGTCCACTTTTGATGTAAGAAAAGGAGTGCAACAAGGTTCTGTTCTTTGCCCAATTTTGATATAAATACAGGTGTGCAACAAGGTTCTTGATCCACACAAACAAAACAATCTTTAATGCAGCGCCATATCAACTTAAACTTTTATTTTTATGAAACCGCGAAAATATATGTAACTAAACAGCTCTTAGTTAAAATTCACTTCACGTGTCATTGCTGTTTCTAAAGGATGCTCTATACAAGTACGATCTTTTTAATAGAGGGAACAAAACGTGGTTGCGTATTTTTTTTATTTTTTTTTGTTGGGTATTCTTATTTTTGCTTTAGTTTTTTTTTGTTATTCTAACATCTCTCTGTTTTACAAAGAAAATACCCAAACTAGACAAACTACAATAAAACCGTGGAGAACGTATGATTTTTGTTTTAAAAGTGTTCTCTTATCCCGTGATTCGTCAGAAATCACAGGTCAACCACATGTGGACACCATTTGCTATGTTATCATATGCCGTTATCGTATAACTACAGTTGTATTACCGTAGTCCACCCCGATAACGTCCTGGTGGTAAAGTAGTGTACCCCGATGTTGTCCTGGTTTTTTGTATTGTTCTACATTTTTATTTTCATTTTACAACCATTATGAAACGCTTTTCCAATTTATATCACTCACTCCCGTTGGGCCGGATGGAAGCGCACAGATGTTCTTAATGTGGGGGAGAAAAACCGGAGTACTCTGAGAAAATCCACGTTGTGACCCGATGCATTCTCACGTTCTATCGGGGAATACAATCCCAACCGTCTTGGGTTAAGTCGAGCGCGCTATCCGCTTCGCCACCTGATCATCATTATTTATATATGCTTATTTGGTCATAGTATTCAGTAGCGTGACATTGTGGCGGTTTAAAAGATAAATACGGTAGTATAATAATGTACGCTATGTAGTCCGTTGAACCTAAGACGACTCATATGACACCTCGTGTTAGAGTCGTCACGCGAGTTATTTGCAAATCTATAAATATCCGACATTTCAGTTACACGACCATACCGTTAAGATGGTGCTAACAACTGCTAAAGTGGTTCTAGTGCTGTTCACTGTGACGGTGGTTACAGCGGGTAACATTGACGTTGCACGTGAATGGAGAGAATGGAAACAACGTTACAACAAGGTATACAGCAACCAAACGGAGGAGACTGAACGGCGTCACGCATGGGAAAGGGCATTTTATTATATCCGTCACCATGGCAACAGACCAGGCGACCTCTCGTTCTCGGTAGGGATGAATTCAAGGGCCGATATGGTAAGTGACCGGTTGAAGAAATCAATGGGCGGCAATAGTTGTTAAATGTTAAGGATATACGCTGCGTAACTTATTACGACATGAATCTCCTCTACAACATAGTCACCCACAGTACAATATGTAACCACACCCACAGTACAATATGTAACCAAGTACTATCAGCTTTTACATGTACAATTGTACGTATTCATTTTCCCCAAAACTTTAAAAAACGAATACTTAACAGACATACACATAGACGCAACTCACAATGTAAATATCTTTCATTGATAATGATTCAATTTAAGTTTTGGAATGACGAAACCTGTATCAAATTACACAAGAATGCATGCATTCATAAACACCGGGAACTCCAAAGTACTACACAATATTCATGAAACCGTTTTGACGGAGATAAATCTAAAACAATAATCATATGGTAGCATACAGCCTTAAACTATTTCCAACTTTTCACCCAATAACCTCCATCAGCAATATAGTGATCAGCAAACATGGTGGGGTTTTTCACTGTTTTGCTATATGCAGCGGTTTAAGAGTTAGTGTGGTCATATTCACTCTCGCTTAAAACGTCTACCAAATTCTTTTGGCAATCATAGTACCATAAATGCTTTATGACCAGATTACGTCAATTTGCTCATGTGGTCAACAAAATAAACAAACAATGAATTGTTGGTTACTTAGTATCAATATGCAAAATTATACCGCGCATACATAATATAGAAAGGTAAAGAATAAATCAAATGTATGACGCTAGACATAGACTTTGACTTTTAATATCCATGAAACCACAAGTTCGTCTGTTATATAGTCATGCACTTGAAAGGCACTGTTCCGTCAGTTAAACCTACCACACGTATTTATGGAAAAAAGTAGCACTTAATAATAAAAAAACATTAAAAAAATGCCTGCGAAAAAGTTATAAAGTAAAAGAAATATTTAATTACTTTCAATTGGCATTCATGCCACTAAGAATACAGAAAATGACCACTGAGGGAATCCATGCTTAAATGAACCCAATAAGTAAGATAAACATCACCCGAAATGTTCCTGACTAATGTTCAAACCCAGAAGCTATCGCGCTAGATCGAGAGAGTGAATGTATGTATTGCGTACCATGTGTAGCTATTTAAAAGTATTAAGTATTAAGTATTTAATTTAAGTATGTACCATTCGTATTGCTTTGATTTTTCACGTATTTTCTTCAGGCATATTTCTCGAACAGTACATTTTGCGTTAATTGACGATAAGGGCCGATCACTAACAGATTCCTAACATTTTTGCAGCTTTGACGTACAAATGTATCAGGCAGAGTTAATTTAGCAGTATATAACAGAGAATTTCGCAGCCAAGTTAAAATTTGCGAATTTTTGTTTCAGTGAAAATCACGAACATTTTACACTGTGAACTGATAATTACGCGGAACACAATATCCAGACATACGTGGGAGGTACTTCCGAAAGTACAACATTACCAATATAACCAAAGGATATTCCACTAGTAATGTCACATTGCTTAATGTCATTGTACGGTTACCTGTATTTATAGGTCGCTATCTGTTCTCGGGAAAATTATCCAAAGCACTAACATTCAAGGGATGACGAACACATAATATTCTACTTCATCAAGCGAGTGCTAGAATAGACAAACACAAGAACGAACTACCGATCTTCTTTTGAAATGTCACTTATGTGCACGTTCCTACATGTATATGTGTAGACAGTTGAATACGTGTCCTGCTTGGTATGGTTCTGTGTTTCTAATTACTTGTTTAAAAAGTGTCATACTACTTTTATACAACAACACAAACATGTAATATCAAATGTGGGTAGAGTTGCAAGTTGATCATTAAAGGATCACGTGTCATGGACAAAGATAAAACTACATCCTTCATTGCGGAATCCGAACCTATTTTGTCAACAGAGCGGAGCAGTAGTAACAAATCAGCTTCATATAAATGTTTTACATTTATCTATGATAAAACATGGAACACGTTCATAGTTATTTTATTAACCTAGGGACTGTTCAAAACGATGAGCAATCTTTTATTCCATTTAAACTGTTTCGTGAAGACTTAACACGCTGCGTCTCTGTCTGTATCTCGAAACAAATAGCATAACTGATACATATATGTCACATATATAGATTTCTTTTTCCCGCTTTTATAATTAAAAGTTACCATTATAAAGAGAAATCCTTGGTCCCGGATATTTTAATCAAATGATAGCAAATTTAGAATATGAAACGAGGTGGCGCACTTTTGTTTTGTTATTACTTTGCACACAATATTAGTTATGTAATCCGATCAGATATACGCCGATAACATTGACTGTTGGTGAAATATTATCATACATATCTGCAGCTTCCCAGAGACTACCGATCAGAAGTGAATGAACTGGTACAAGGTTGGTCTAACAGTCTGCAGGATAACAGTTTGGTTTATGTCCCGACGTCATTCGACTGGAGGACACGCGGAGTTATCGCCCCTGTCTCTAACCAGGGCCAGATTGGCAGTTCAATATCAATAGTTGTCACAGGTGAGTTATAGTTTCGTCAAAAAGTGACATTTTATCAGCTGTTGTAAAATGTAAGACGTGATCGAAAATTTGAGTTACATGTACGATGTATATTGGTATTGTCCGGGACATTTATAATATATAGTTCATGCATTCATTGTCCGCGGCAACGTTGAGAGTGCGACGCACAAATGATTATTCCAGAGAAAACAAATTAAGCAACAAAGCAACTTAAGAGCAATATCACACATAGTCCTTTAGGTCTACCTGAAAATGCCAGATATACCAGATATAAAGTTTATTTTTGTGGAAGAATACATCACTCTGCGTGTGAATAGCACACGAGTGAATGTGTACATCCGCGCAATTTAAATGAGTGTCATTCAGTAGATTTATCGTTTGCAAATGAATGCATTCTAATCTTTTTGGTGCAATATTATTTCGAATTAACGATTTATTTCCCGGAAAACATGAATCGCACAACAAAAACACGTGGAAGAGGAATCAATAAGGTCACATCACCATACTGTTATGTTCGGTTGAAATCATCGAAACCTATTCTCCATTCAAAACTTTTTTAACAAAAAAATAGTTCCGGACTATAAAACAATGTATGCACAAAACGGGCCTGATCATGAATGGAAATAGGCTACACCCAATTAATGTTGAAGATTACGTGTATCAACATTGTAAATTTGTGGTTTTTAGTTATCATAATACAGTTATTACCTAATATTTGCGATGCTGCAGCATCTGTTGCACAATGTACTAGTATTTAAGTGCAAACGGTAGATCTGGCACTCTTTAACGGCACCTAAATGTGTGACATTGGATATAAGCTTCAAAATGATACTAATCCAATTGTTTTGGTAGTGTTTACAGATTGCTATGATTTGCAATGAGACTGGTAGCTCTAGATAAGACAACTAAAGCAAGAATGTAACTGACATGTTTGTTGTTCTTTCATATTTGGCATACTCACCACCACTACACAAACCTATTGGTCAATACAATTGGTTATCAAAATTAATCACGTGATATAATTTAAAGATCGTAGGGTCTTATGTCATGCTTGCCAATATGAGGACTTTACATTGCTTGTGGCATTGAATCAATCCTTCAGGTAACATGACGAACACATTTTAGATTAGACTATTGCGAAAGATCTTTGGTTACATAAGTCGTTCATACCCCTAAACATTATTTCTTTGTTCAGAGACTCTGGAATCATCAGAGGCGATCCAGACAGGTCATATGGTCAGACTGAGTGAGAGAGAGATCTCCGATTGCTGTGGCGGAGGCGGTCATTTAATGGGAAACGTTTTCAACTGCCTCCACGACATAGGTGGCGTGTGCTCAGAGGCCGGGTACCCGAACCAGACTGGGCCGGCCAGGTGTAGAAACGACTCATGTACACCGATGGTCAAGGTATGCTGGATTGATCGTACTACACGATAAATATTCGTGTATCTTGTGAAGTAATCGCTTGTTAAAAATGCATCAGTATATAAAATGAACTTTATTTTACAACAATTATGAGACAAATTATTGCAACTTATACCAATCACTTTAGTTGGCCCGAGTGTAAGCGCGCGGGGGTCTTAGTGAGGGAGGAAACCGGAGAACCCGGAGAACCCGGAGCAAACCCACTTTGGGGAGCAGGTGATCCCATACCTTTTCACGTCTGATCTTGGACTCCAACCGCAGCCGCCTTTGTGCGAGTGCGTTATCCTCTCACCCTGTAAATAATCGCTGCGGGTGTATAAATATATCGAAAATCAGCGCCGTATCACTTGCACTGGCCTATAGCTATAAACATGTTTAATTTAGACCGGTTTTATGAATAATCTGAAACACACGTTTTTCACACAAAGGTACAAGGGGGCGTTAAAATTCCAAGCGGAAGGGAGGATCTTCTTCAACAACATTTACTAGACCAACCCATTATGGCCATGATCGACGCAAGCCATGCCTCCTTCCAGATGTACAAAAGAGGTATATATTTTGAAGAGAAGTGCAGTTCTACCAGCTTAGATCACGCGGTCCAGGTCGTGGGCTTCGGAGTTGAAGACGGAAAAGATTTCTGGATCGTCAAAAATAGCTGGGGTAAGTGTGGTCTAGCGGTTACGCTCATTTTCGCTCTTTGTACCTCTGGAATATATGTCAGATTGGTATCGGGTAAAAAAGCCTACCAATCGCTTGGCTTATACCTGTCCTTTGATATTATAGAGGAGGGATATCCGACTTCAAGGCCATTCAATTTTACCTTTACGCGACCGCGTGATTCTTTTGACACACATAACGGATCAAACTATTCCTCTCGTGTCATACATAAGGTGTTGCACACTGAAATTTCGATTTTGCTGTGACATATTCCACCGATGCACGGAGCGAAAGTGAGCGTAACCCCTGGGCCCGTATTCATGAAACCGTTCTCATGCTCAAGCATGGATTTAGTGCTCAAACCAACTATCTTGTAACCCACTTCAAACGATCAAAACGTCAAGTGAAATCAATGAAAACAGTATACAACTTTAAGTCTCTTCTGAGTTTTTCCAAATAATTGAAAAAATAAAATTTTATTATCCAGTTATAACCGGAACAAGAAATTAGATTTGAGCACAAATTCCATACTTGAGCATGAGAACGGTTTCATGAATACGGGCCCTGGAGTATCGAGAATGGTTGTTCAGAGATCAAAAGTAGCTGAGGCCACCCAGCCTGTCGTTTTACATTCATACAACTAAGTATGATATTTAAAGCAATTATAGTGAATCTTTTATAAAGAAACAATTGTATCATGACAGTCTACTCATGTGTACAATGCCTCTAAACAGTACATATAAGGATTCCGATTCCACCTCTAGATCATTAAGAAGCTGATTTAACATAACTGAAAACTTCGTTGTTTTAATTGTGATAAAACAAATTTACATGTATGTCAAGTGTAGCCAATCTTGACATATTACTAATGGAACAGTGCTTGAAGTTATGGGACAATACGCCATAAAAAACAGAAAGTAAATGGCATATTTGCAAAATTTAAGTTTGCATCTTGGGTTGATATTTGATCGGATTTTTTGCTTTAAACTAATTACGAATTTGATTTGTTAGGAAATTTTGTTAAGGTGTTAAATTTTTCTCTTTTTTTTCCTGCAGGTATAAACTGGGGAATACATGGATATATATTGATGAGCAGGAATAGAAATAATCAGTGCGGTATCGCCAGTGCTGCCTCATTCCCGGCACTCGGTTAACTGTACTTGTCTGTTACCTGTTGTTGTACAATGTCGCCCTATCGGAAATTGACAATGAGATTCACAAGTTCCATAGATGCATTCACAAAGATGAAATATGATATATGAGGTAAAATATTATACATAAGATTACACATTATGCAAAGCTGAAACATCATACAAATTAACAAAAGAGATATTATAGGAAAAAGTGACACATGATAAGCGAAAGAATTATATACTACTTACTTTTTGCTAAGGATCACTTATATTTTTGGTTATATGTGAAAATAAATATTTTATTTGGTTTATACTAAGATTGTTTTTTAATAATTGATTGTTCTTTTAATTCATCATCATGCAAAAATTCTAAAAATCGTAATTACAGTCGTAAAAAGAGCCACAGGCAAAGGGCTACCCTTAAAGTTGGTAACAACGAGGTATTCACTAAAAAACTTAAATTGAACAAAACTCATCCTAAATAAACAAACTGTTTAAGTATCGAGTGTGACGCCCATGAGCACCAATTACAGCTTCACAACGTCTGCGCATGCCCCGAGTGAGATCGCATATCCGGTTTTGTGGGATATCGTCCATTGAACTACTTAAGCTGTTCTCAGCTCCCGGAACGTTCTTGGCTGAACATTTCTGGCAGAGAGAGAGAGAGAGAGCTGTTTGCAGCATGTTCCACGTGATGGGATTAAGATCCGGCGAGCGGGCTTGCCAGTCCATTCGTTGAATAGTATCTTGCTGTAGATACTGCTCAGTCACCCTTACTTTGTGTGGCCAATCATTATCGTCCATGATGATGAAGTCAGGGCCGATAGCGCCAGCGTCGGGACATAGGCATCAAGGATTTCATCACAGTAAATCCGGGCCGTAACGGTACCACTATGTAGGTCACTTTTCCCACGAAGGCTTATGCCTCCCCACACCATCACTGAACCTCCGCCATATCGGTCATGTTTCACAGCGTTACCTGCCTGGAACCTCTTTCCACATTGTCTCCATACTCTAACGAGCCTATCGATGAAGTCGAGACAGTTCCTAACTGTCTGAGTTGCTACCCGGGTACCAGAAGCATTTAGGAGGTCATTTCGTAAAGCTGTGGCAGTCTGGAACCTGTGACGCCGTGTCTGTACGAGCAAAAATTGGTATTGGCGCTTCGTTGTAGCCCTAGAACGACTTCCATCATGACGTCTGGAAGGGTTTCCGTAAGTTTGGAAACGATTCCACATTCTTGCCACCACACTTTGAGACACACCATTGTCTGCTGCAACCTGACGTTGGGACATGCTAGCTTGCAGCATTCCGATGCCCCTATCCATTTCACCGTCATTTAATAGTTGTTTGTTTCGTATTTGTGCCATATTTAAACAACAACACGCAAAGAATATTCATGAAATTAATTTCCTTAAATTTTAACAACGCCTTACTTAGCCAAGCTTAGCTTTTGAAAGGGTTGTACGCGTGGAAAAGCGTGCGCTCGCATTTATGGTTGACTGAACACACCCACACGGGACGATTTGGAAGGCTAACATATTCGCCCAAAACAGTCGGAAGGAAAATATGATATCCTTTCTAACATTTTCATTTTTTTATTAGCTAAGGCGTTAGCCGCCAGCTATTGGTATTACTTTAGTTAATGAGCTCAGATATTCATAAATGTCGATTTCACACAGACGNCATGTTATAAACATTGTATTATTAGATTCATTGTGATGTTGGCTTTCATTGAAGTTTCAATTGTTATACTACTTGATGTTTTGGAAACTTAAACAAGTATAGTAGTTCTAAATATTATGAAATGACAGAAACATTAGGCCAAACAAATTACTTGTGTTTCTACTATCAGAAAAAAATAGGGTAGGTATGTATTAGCTAGGCATTTTATTGTTAATTTGAAAAATATCTTTACTGCGCTAATATAGAGCAGGAGTTCTGACTTTAACAGTGCATATAAAAACTTAAGGGTATTGTAGAACACAAATCTGAGATAAGTCTGGTTAACCACACTGGTGTCGAACACACCAATAAGTATAGTGTGTATAATATATCATAGTTTATACACATCATATTACTATTAGTGTGTCCAGTATCTGTGGGGTTAGCATAAACTCAATATTTGTTTTAAACTTTTAATTGGCCTTATATAATGATCATTTATAGGTCAGACAGGGTTTGGTTTCCAATTCGGAAACTAGACCTGTTAAAACAGTTATCATTTGTAATTTAGAGATTAAATATTTCTAAGCAGAAAAAAATGAACTATAAATATTTTTCAACCTTTTCTGAGTTGTACAATTTTAGAGTATCTTCTGTCTGAAATCTGAACATAACTTGTTTTATGATAAATGTGTAAAACAATTCCTCATACTGGGGTAAAGTTTTTCTATATATAGTCCCAAAAACTACAGATAAAATCCTTGAGCACGTACAAGATACAAAAATATATATTTTACGTCCATTTTGCAAAACATACAACATAAGCTACAAAGACAAAACATGAGTATAATAACAGAGACCAAAATATTACAACATGGAAAAATAAAATAAAAACATGTATGTACATGTAGTATACTGTAAGCTCAGAAAAAGAGTTTATCACTTGGAAAGCACTTAATAGGCACATTGAACACGGTAAGCACATCAGCACATGGTAATTTAAGCACATTTAGAACATTTGCATACAGCACATAAAAAACAAAACCATAACATGGAAAGCTTATTAGCACATAGTAGGCACATTTGCACATTGTAAGCAAAATAAAGGAGTGCAATGGACATCTCCATGTTTCCTGGTTAATTTCTTCTTTATGGAAACAACCAGGGGAGAGTGATGTTCTGCTTCATCTTTTGTATTAATGAAAACCGTGAATATCTAAGTGCGTGTGTTTAAACTAATTTTGTTTTGTTTTTACTGGTACCTTTTTATGTACACATGTTTTACCACCTAAGGAATTAGATGTCTTAAGCCCCCATATGATGTGCTGTTATAAGTTGAATTTAATGTACATTTTGTTTATATTTAGTTCTGCTACCAAAGAGATTGACTTATTGAAATGTTTTTGAAACATTTTAATGAACTCCTCAGCTTTAATGCCTTATTTCTCACTATACAAGCTCATATTGCTATGCCTCCTATTTGTTTGAATATCATCTCTAAACATTATTGCTGGTGCAGAAATTATATGGTAACTATGTTCTATTTTAGGGGGGGAAAGCAATCAATATTACAACAGACAGGGATGGTTATTGATGGGAGAAAGGAGGATGAGAAATAGGAACTGTACCAACTCTCTCATACCTTTGAGGACTTCATGAACTTTTTCAAAAGGCTGCAAGAACTATACCAACAGTGACATGACATTTTGAAATCTGTCAGTTACTTTATAGAGGAGGAACCTCTGACTAAATCATTTTCTCTCAGACACATGAAAGCCGAGTCCACAGATCCTTCCATCAGCGAATAGTTCAAATGTAGTTCAAATGCTTTCCTCGCAAACTTTTCCTTAATGGAGAAGTCAGTGATCTTTACTTGGAACAGATTGAATCTGTGAATATTGATGCTGAAAGCCTGATGAATGTGATTGAACAGCCCCTACTTGATGCTGAAACCCTGATGAATGTGATTGAACACCCACTACTGACTAAGGGCACAAATGTTGGAAACAACGTTTGTTTTGATCAATATAACACTATGGGTGGTGGGAGCAAATTGGAAAAAAAATTAAAAGTATGTTTTTAAAGATAGAAATACTGGTCATGGCTTCCTTTTAGTTTTTGTCCAATGAATTAAAAGTCAACGCAAATGTTAAGTAGTAAAAGAAATGTAAGATCCCTGGTATACATTGTACTTTTAACAATGCTTATGATCAATATCAATAAAATAAAATAAAAGTTATAATATGTAACTTGATATTTGTTAACTTCGCTCGATTTTACTGTGTCCAACATTTGATATTAAATCTTGTGTGATATATGAGAGGGATAGCACACAAGATTGTATCAATGTCAATGAAAGCAATTATTTCTTAAGTTTTCAACCATATTTCTTGAAACTTCATTTCTAAATTTCATACATCAATTGTTCAAGACAGTTTTAAGGTCAATTTCATTCAGTCAAGGTGAAGGCTACAGCTTCACAACCTGTTCATGTACATGTGACAGAGAAATTGTCAGTGCATTCCTAACTAAGTATTCAAACCAAATTTTATAAACCTTGATCCATCATTCTCAACATTAAATCATGCACTACCTGTTTGCATATACACAAGCAACCTCAACTTTCAATAAGTCCTGTTGTCAACATTTGTTGCACAATGCTATCAGTTCTGAAACCAACAATCATGACAACTGTAATAACATAGTATGTGTTCTAGCTGGTACATTTGCAGTACTCTTTTGAAATGTATTTGAAATTAATATGTGCATCTTATTTCAAATGCTAGCCTATGAAGATGATAAAGCTGAACATATGCTATAAAGTTGTTGTTTTCTTTGTGAAGAATTTATGCAATGGAAATAGAGGGAAAATAATGTAACTCTCCTAATCTTGTGTGTGTGTGTGAGTATGTATGTTTATATTTTGTTTATCTTATTCAATATTGAAACATACAACAATGTATCATATTGAATTAGAGTGCTTTTTATATTATTTGTTCATGGGAACACAGATTCAAAATAGTTCCATTTTTCATAAGAAGAGACCTTTTCACTGCAGTGAATATGTAAAACACTTTATTTAAAAGTTTTTCAAAATTATTGAGAGACTTGTAAATTTATGGGTAGCAGTAATCCACTTGCTTATCCACAATTTAGTTTCGGCAAGTAAACATCCTTATAAATATTGTTCTGTAACAATATACACTGACTGATGCAAAATTGAAACTTGAACAAAATTCACACGTATTAAAAAGCATGCCAACCCTGGTCGATGTGCACACTTTACAAGATAACTTGCTTGAATATATATTGATCAATATACAAACTTAGACGATAAGTTCAAAGTTGAGTGAAATCCATGCCTAATTAATTAGCATACTGTACTCTGATTGGTCAATGGTTTTATGCCAAGTAACTTTGTTAGATAAGGCAAGGGTTGATATCTTATTCAACAACAAAGGCAAAGTTCAAAGATGTTCACAATCTGTGCATAATCTATTCAATGGTTTAAAATAATCAGGTATTGGTCAAAGGGGTAAATGCCAGTTTCAGTTTTTAATGTTCTATGAAATACATTGTATGGACAAAGGGAAGCAATTCCAAATTCCTATGCAAATTAATTATCCAAAGGTTTAAAATGATATATTCTAGAGGAAACTTGGTACCACTCTTCTGACAAACCTATAAAGATATACTGTACACACAAGAAGAATAACTTCACAGTGGTACACTTTTACATAAAACTTTGATTCATAACAAATTAACAGTAAATCCTTCTGTACAGTATGATGGGAACTTCGTCTTTATTTTGTTCTCCATTCCAAAAATAATATATATATCTTTTGCCTTAGCTTTCAGTACTTTCAGTACTTTGATTTAAATATATATGTGATCCTTAGCAAAATGTGAGTAGTATATGTACAATATATGAGTTGACGCATGGTATACGAGTTGACGCATGGTATACGAGTTGACGCATGTTATACAAGTTGACGCATGATAAAAAGGTGACCTGAAATGAGGTGACCTGGTATATTAGGTGACAACAACATATACATGTATGAGGTTACACAGGACAAACGAGTTGACACATGCTATATGAGGTGACACAGGATAAATAAGTTGACATGCTATTACAGTTGACACATGTCATGACATATAAGGGAACATATGAGGTGACAGGATAAATGATCATAAGTTGACACGAAATACGTATAAGGGGACACATGATATATGAGGTGACACAGGATAAATGAGTTGACACCTGATATATGAGGTGACACAGGATAAATGAGTTAACACCTGATATATGAGGTGACACAGGATAAATTAGTTGACACCTGATATATGTGATGACACAGGATAAATGAGTTGACACCTGATATATGAGGTGACACAGGATAAATTAGTTGACACCTGATATATGAGGTGGCACAGGATAAATTAGTTGACACCAGATATATGAGGTGATACATGATCTATGAGGTGGCACATAATAAATGAGTTGACACCTGATATATGAGGTGACACAGGATAAATTAGTTGACACCTGATATATGAGGTGACACAGGATAAATGAGATGACACCTGATATATGAGATGACACAGGATAAATGAGTTGACACCTGATATATGAGATGACACAGGCTAAATGAGTGGACACCTGATATATGAGATGACACAGGATAAATGAGTTGCCACCTGATCTATGAGGTGGCACATGATAAATTAGTTGACACCTGATATATGAGGTGACACAGGATAGATTAGTTGACACCTGATATATGAGGTGGCACAGGATAAATGAGTTGACACCTGATATATGAGATGACACAGGATAAATGAGTTGACACCTGATATATGAGATGACACAGGATAAAGGAGTTGACACCTGATACATGGGGCGACACAGGATAAATGAGTTGCCACCTGATCTATGAGGTGGCACAGGATAATTGAGTTGACACCTGATATATGAGGTGGCACAGGATAAATTAGTTGACACCAGATATATGAGGTGATACATGATCTATGAGGTGGCACATAATAAATGAGTTGACACCTGATATATGAGGCGACACAGGATAAATGAGTTGCCACCTGATCTATGAGGTGGCACAGGATAATTGAGTTGACACCTGATATATGAGGTGACACAGGATAGATTAGTTGACACCTGATATATGAGGTGGCACAGGATAAATTAGTTGACACCAGATATATGAGGTGATACATGATCTATGAGGTGGCACATAATAAATGAGTTGACACCTGATATATGTGGCTACACAGGATAAATGAGTTGCCACCTGATCTATGAGGTGGCACATGATAAATGAGTTGACCCCTGATATATGAGGTCACACAGGATAAATGAGATGACACCTGATATATGAGGTGACACAGGATAAATGAGATGACACCTGATATATGAGATGACACAGGATAAATGAGTTGCCACCTGATCTATGAGGTGGCACATAATAAATGAGTTGACACCTGATATATGTGGCTACACAGGATAAATGAGTTGCCACCTGATCTATGAGGTGGCACATGAGAAATGAGTTGACACCTGATATATGAGGTGACACTGGATAAATGAGATGACACCTGATATATGAGGTGACACAGGATAAATGAGATGACACCTGATATATGAGATGACACAGGATAAATGAGTTGACACCTGATATATGAGATGACACAGGCTAAATGAGTGGACACCTGATATATGAGATGACACAGGATAAATGAGTTGCCACCTGATCTATGAGGTGGCACAGGATAATTGAGTTGACACCTGATATATGAGGTGGCACAGGATAAATGAGTTGACACCTGATATATGAGGTGACACAGGATAAACGAGTTGACACCTGATATATGAGATGACACAGGATAAATGAGTGGACACCTGATCTATGAGGTGACACAGGATAAATGAGTTGCCACCTGATATATGAGGTGGCACAGGATTAATGAGTTGACACCTGATATATGAGGTGACACAGGATAAATGAGTTGACACCTGGTATATGAGGTGACACAGGATAAATTAGTTGACACCGTGTATATGAGGTGACACAGGATAAATGAGTTGACACCTGATATATGAGATGACAAAGGATAAATGAGTTGACACCTGATATATGAGATGAAAAGGATATAAAATCGGACACAGGGGGCATGAGATAACAGGGACCAATACTCATTTAAGATTGATCTTTTCTTGTTAATTATATTTTTGACACGTTTTACATTTCCTTTTAAATGTGATTTGCAAAATTAAAAAAGGGAAATTATTAATTGTATTTCTGTTGCATTTTATCTTTGAAACATTAACGCCACTACTCAATCCCAGTATAAAGATATCGATTTAGTATCCTTTACCTTTTTAGATTTAACAACTTGCGTAATAGCAAAAACCAAAAGAAAGGACAACAATCAGCTAAACTTATCGTCATATACTGTTAAAGTGGTATTTCTCGCGTGTAGAAATATTCGTGGTTTCCTCCTTTAATTGATAGCGGTTTGGAAATGCTCGCGTTAACACTGGTTCTGTATCTATATTATTATGTCTATAGTATACAATAATTAATCGCGTGTTGATATCTTTGCGCTGATTTACTCAACGCGTAAAACGCGAGCATTCCACCGTTACAATAATGTTCACGTTATACAGTATGTCATTACGATGCAGATCAGTCACACCTTCCAACATTTTGTACATGCTTTACACTGTCATGAATGCTAGAAGCCACTCCTAAAGATCTAAAACAGTTTGCAAGTAGAGATACTAAAATGATAGACTATATAATAAAAAACAATTTACAATCTACAATATATTCAGAAGTCAAAAATAAATTAAACTTTTTTTATTATATTTACATTTTGCGCTTTTAAAAAACGTATACATAATAAATATTGTAGCTATCGAATTATCACGCTGGTGTCGTCTCACTTAACCAACTTTCCCAACTTTACTATAGGACAGGTAACTAGCTACTAGAGGACAATAGATGTTGACCCGTGGTCATCTATAGTCTGTTACAATTTAACACATAACAAGCAGTTGATTGGAATCTGTTTTATTCTTTTTATTGCACTTCAACTACAACATATAAGAGAAACATGCCGATAACTGTACATTTTTGAAGAAGCATTTTACATGTAGTTAAGGAATTCATACAATAAGCGATATTCTATCACATCGGCGAGGCATCACAAGATAAATATTTGTAAGCACAAAAGGACAGTCTAAGTTGAATACTTTGCTGGTCTAGGCCTCGTGTCTTATAGTGAAAGGATGTAGCACCAGAAGTGAAGCTGATATCCTTTTCGTGACGTAGAACAGATATTATCAAGAAATGTTTCATTATTATGGTAGTATATAACTTAATATTTAACGTTGATACATTTTCTCCGACTTTTTCTCCCCTTGTTATATTTTCCTCAATAATATGAACGCATATACATATATATCCAATATTGGTTATGAAATGAATAAAAATCATTAAGTACAGTTAAAAAACAAGGGTACCGCGGGGCGGAACAATATACGCCCGTTGAATGCCATATAGTGTTATATACTTTCTTACATTGAAATAAGATCTGCATCATTCAAAGAGTGATTAGCTGACAAGCTATGAAAATGCAGGAGAAAATCTCCGGATAAAAATTTCAAATACTGAAATGAACAAAGGGCAATAACTTTTGCAAAACTCGTTGAATCAAAATTCTTTTCAAGCAAACACAACAACATATCATGATTATTTAGCCTACTAAGTTTCAAAGCAATCTGTAGGAGGACATCTCCGGACAAAAAAATCAAATACTGAAATGAACAAAGGGCAAAAGCTTTTGGAAAAATTGTCAAATCAACAATTCTTTTAAGGGAGACACAACTTCATATCATGATTATAATGTATACCAAGTTTCAAAGAGATCCGTTGAAAAATGTAGGAGGAGATTGTCGGACAAAAATCAAATGAACAAAGTGTAAAGGGCAATAACTTTTGCAAAAATTGTCGAATCAATTTTTTTACGGAAGACATAACTGCATATCATGATTATAATGTTTACCAAGTTTCAAAGAGATCGGTCGAAAAATGTAGGAGGAGATTGCCGACAAAGTAAATATTATCACAGAAAGTATGAAGTCAATACTAACCAACAGTTACATCAATCTAGATGTAGGATTAAAGTGTAATGTGTAAGGCAACGGGTGTTTCTTGAGTAATAATATCTAGTGTAATTGAATTTGCCTAATTCTTCTTAAATCGTATATCTAATACAGTGAAATACATGTAACTTAAATACAAAAATATTCGACAATTTTACTAAGATCTCCTATGCATTCGTATAGTCAGTGATAATCTTATAAATTCAAATTGCATAATTCTTACTAGTTCATATTTTTTTTATTTAATTGAGCTCTATTTGCCTATTCTATTCGTTCTTCGAGGAATGTAATAAATTATTTGCTTTAAATAATATCTGCCTTTTATAAACATAGCAATTAAAATACTTGTATAAGTCAACAATACAATTGTAATTCATATACACTTTATGCATAATTTAAAAACAGATGCGCATATTCACTCAGATTTATTAAAAATAGAACTAGTCTTAATAGTACCTAGATTTCGAATTTGTACTGAATAATAACTTTCACAACATTCTATAGTAGCACATTTAGAAATAAATTAAACATGTAAAAATAGAACTTGACATATACAATATACCTGAGTTCTTAATCAGACAGATTTTAAATAGAATATAGCCAAATAACACTTTAACCATTACTAAAATAAAAATAAATCTATGTAAGGACCATCACGTGATCAGTGAAATATTATCTCTGTTTGGTATCATTTGATACTCTTTATGGTATACAGGTAGATATTTATATTGGCCAGGTGACCCTGAATGTTGAGTGTCGAACAATAGCCCTTATTATGTGTAATATTTAAAGTTTAGTTCATAAAAGTACAGATAACAAGAAATTATATATATATAAACATTGTTTAATTAATATTCATTTATCAGGCACTTTAGCATAACAGAAAAAACTTACGAAATAATTCCAAAAGATATTTACTTCACATGAATTTAAATGACTTTAATAAAGCACTCGAACATTAGATACACCTTAAATATATAGGCTAACGATTAATTAGTTTCATTAAATTAATGTATATATTAAATATGTGTAAAAATGTAATGACGTAATAAACTTTAAAATATCCATAAAAGACACTACACGAACAATGAATTTCATACAGAACTAAGTATTAGCCACATCTTAAACATGGACTTACATAATACACACTTCACACAGTAAAGACAAGTAAATTAAGTCCATGCTTCTCAGAAATGCTGGAACCATTCACTAATCTAGTCAACACGATGCAAGATGAATCGGTGTACGTGATGACATCATTCAATATGATCATTCCTTAACCTGTCCTTGCTGACCAAGGTGATAATCTAAACGTCAATATTCCTTCTTTTCCATCTTTATGGATCATTCATCAATCAACTTTCACAAACATGATCATGTCGTACATTTTATACATCAAGCAAAGGAGTTTGGAATATCAGCGCATGCGTATTGTGATAAAGCCACACGATCATGAACGATTTCTCACAAACCGGTATGGTGTTCCAATGGGTGTCGGATTAGAACCTTTTATGTATATCACTATCATCTTAAATTTCCGTGCAACTTTTTTTCTATTCAAAATTAAAATTATGTGAGAACATCCACATTACCGATGTGCTTCCATAAGAAGCCCAAAGGAGCTTTCCGGAAACCTGAGAAATGTTCAGTAGGGTGAATGTTTGAAGCGTTTTTTGTCCGCCCGCCTACAATGTACTCAGTTCGCCGCAAACATTCGCGAGATTTCCAAACACAGAACAATCGTGAACATATGTTTCCTAATTCTGTTAGGTCCACAGAGCATTCACCAACAAAACTCATGACGTGTCAAAGGATTTATGTATGTCAATGAAGTTAGCTCATTGACACTCTTAGACACACGTGATTGTATTCACGGTAGCCTGATTTTCCTCAGCAGGATCTTCACTATCATACCGAAGTCGTACATATCATTGAATTGTTCGAAGTCTCGGGGAACTTGATGATGATCCATTGAAAATATTGCGTCTGTCACTCTCTGTAAAACAAACAAACAATGCTACATCATACGTTAGAGGGACAATACACTGTAATAAACGTTAACACCCTACACTACCGGGACAATACACGTTAACACCATACAGCAATAAACGTGTGCATCATACACTACAGGGGCAATACACGTTAACACCACATAGCAATAAACGTGTCCACCATACACTACAGGGGCAATACACGTTAACACCATACAGCAATTACCGTGTGCACCATACACTACAGGTGCAATACACGTTAACCCCATACGGCAATAAACGTGTGCACCATACACTACAGGGACAATACACGTTAACACCATACAGCAATAAACGTGTGCACCATACACTACATGGGCAATACACGTTAACACCATACGGCATTAAACGTTTGCAACATACACTACAGGGGCAATACACGTTAACACCATATAGCAATAAACATGTGCACCATACACTACATGGGCAATACACGTTAACATCATACGGCAATAAACGTTTGCAACATACAATACATGGGCAATACACGTTAACACCATACAGCTATAAACATGTGCACCATACACTACATGGGCAATACACGTTAACACCATACAGCAATAAACATGTGCACCATACACTACAGGGGCAATACACGTTAACATCATACGGCAATAAACGTTTGCAACATTTAATACATGGGCAATACACGTTAACACCATACAGCAATAAACGTGCACACCATACACTACATGGGCAATATACGTTTACACCATACGACAATAAACGTGTACACCATACACTACAGGGGCAATACACGTTAACACCATACAGCAATAAACATGTTCACCATACACTACATGGGCAATACACGTTAACATCATACGGCAATAAACGTGTGCACCATACACTACATTGGCAATATACGTTAACACCATACAGCAATAAACGTGTGCACCATACACTTCAGGTGCAATACACGTTAACACCATACGGCAATAAACGTGTGCACCATACACTACAGGGGCAATACACGTTAACACCACATAGCAATAAACGTGTGCACCATACACTACAGGGGCAATACACGTTAACACTATACAGCAATAAACATGTGCACCATACACTACATGGGCATTACACGTTAACATCATACGGCAATAAGTGTTCGAACATTTAATACATGGGCAATACACGTTAACACCATACAGCAATAAACGTGTACACCATACACTACATGGGCAATATACGTTAACACCATACGACAATAAACGTGTACACCATACACTACAGGGGCAATACACTTTAACACCATACGACAATAAACGTGTACCCCATACACTACAGGGGCAATACACGTTAACCCCATACGGCAATAAACGTTTGAACCATACACCACAGGGGCAATACACGTTAACACCACACGGCAATAAAAGTGTACACCATACCCTACAGGGGCAGTACACGTTAACACCAAACAGTAATCAACGTGTACACCATACACTACAGGGGCAGTACACGTTAACACCATACAGTAATCAACGTGTACACCATACACTACAGGGTAAGTACACGTTAACACCAAACGGCAATAAACGTGTACGCCATACACTGCAGGGTCAATACACGTTAATACTTTAATTATCTGACGTCTAGCCGACACCTTTTATAAGCACAATGAGCGTGGAACGCAGCATGTGCCTCGAGACATATCGACGGCAGTGCCGGTAACTGTCATGTGATGTATAGGTTTAATATCTGTCAGGCGTGACAGGTGATCACACCTGTTCTTCGAATAGATAGGATTTAAACTATGACAATGTAGAGTCGGGGACACATTTTTGTTCGAGGAATACTGGGTATTCGAGGAATAACGGTTCGACTCATCCGGGGTTTCTTTACAAAGAATATGTACGAACTCGGTCGGGACCAAACTAACTGTTCGACGAATGAGGGGTATTCGAATAAACCGAGTTCGACGAAGTGGGGTTTTAGTGTATAATAAGATGCACTAGTATACCACTCACATCGTTCTTTGAAGATATCTGTACGGATTCAGCAGAAATGTTTCCATGGACCAGATTTTGGCTGTGAAGGTAGACTAAACTTTCTGACAAACTCTGAATGATGTTGAAAGCGTCCCTCACACGTAACTCTCCAGAGTTACAAAGAAATTCAGTCAGCGGCTTACTTCCTTTCTTGTGGCGGAATGTTTTCAACATTTCCAAAACAACATTGGTCATTTCAGTCTCTGAAGAAAACAACAACAATTTCGTATAACGATTTGCATTATGAAAACAAATAAATAAATTATATGTAGATTGTTCATCGTTTAAAAACAAGTTTCAAGCCTTTGAATCAATATATTCACATATAGTTTCTTTCTCACATCAAAATTGACGAAATCTATTCTTATTATTCATTATCACTAAATTGCCAACTTGCGGGTAGGGCAAATGAACTAATGTCATTATGCCTTTGAAATCGATTCCTTTAGTGTACCTCCAAGAGTGGTTAACCAAATAGATTCGAGTATTTGGCAAGCATTGAAAGAAAGGGGAAAAAATAGCAGTTATTTAAACGTTTATACATTTTTGCATCGAGAAAGTAAATCTTTAAATATGTTTTGCCTCACTTCGGGTTACCCGTAGCTATTTTGTTATGTGATATACTATATGTGACTGTCTGTATCGTCATAGTGAGTTTAGAAAGCTGTTTATACTGTGGAAACTGTCAAAATGGCAAAATGTGTCAGAAAGCTCTTTGTTAAGATAAGTTTGGTATTTGTGCATACCCTATGACGGGTGACATTTTGTATTTGTTCCATTCATTGTAAGATTAGTTATCATTTAGTTATATTTGTGAGTGGCGATCTATTTACCTGATTTCGTGCCTTTGTAGCTCGAGTTTCGCTGCATTTGGAGCTGTAACAAGATATAGTGATAATAAACAAATATGATATTTCTGCAACACAAAACTCTTGAAAACAATAGTTAAAGCATCAACAATCACGTAAGGTGCGTGGATCGTAGCTCAAGGTCCGATCGATTATATTTTATTTTGAAATATTACATTATCGTACCATAGATAATGTTTATTATGGTCCAATAAATTTGACCAAGACCTACGGTTCCTGCAGCTGCAATCACGTTATATACAATCAAACGTCGACATAATGCCCTCCTTTGATAGCCAATTTCATGATTCTAAACAACCCATTTTGACCCCCCTCCCCCTCATTGAATAATGTCAAATTCAGTCGAACGAATGACAACACCATGAAGAGGTTTAAATGTTAAAACATATATTTAAATGATAACCCAAAATTTTAAAAAGGATAACCATATCTACTCAAATTGCATATCGGTTATATACGCCTTTTTCCTATTATGACTTGTTTTCCGTTTTTGTCTTCTCAATGACCTAACGATTGGCCTATTCTAAATAATACACATAATCAAGAAGACTAAACACAGAATACCTTTCTCTTTTTCCATGTATTTGCAAATGTGTAGAGGAAGGGGTTGAGAGCGGAGTTGATTGGTAGGACGAAGACCATCACCCAGGCGTAGACATCCCCCGACACACTACCTCCCAGTGACGTCCATATACCTACAATATACATGGGATTTCGGTACTTGCAGTTAAATACGTAGCTGCTTTATGTTTGTACTTTCGTTTTGGTATAATAAAACAGATAAATATGTAATTTTGAGATATAGCAAGTTGCTGGTTCCCTTCGACCATGGACCCCCTCTTTATAACAGAATTGAAGAAAGAGAGTCGTTCTTCTATACATACCAAGGACACCAATAGGAAACCAGCAGAAAAAATCTGTAGCGACAACTGCAGTGAGTGCCCGTGCCACAGCGATGTCTGTGTCCTGTTTATTAGTCATCCTCCTCAGTGTCATGTGGGTCCGACTCTTTCGGTAAATCACAACTTGACAAACTGCTATCACAATGAAGATAACAAAGTTCAGTCCAACAAAGACGGCGACTGAATATTCCGAGCCAGGTGTACTGGAATCTGATAACGGAAGTGCAAGACATACACCGGAAGAGCTATAGAACTCTCCCTTGAAGTAATCCTTGAAGCTAGAAACCGGAAGTACGGCTATAACTATGGAGAAGATCCATATGACAACAGATGTCCCTATAGCAGATCTCTTTGTAAACTGCTTTAATGAAAATGGAAACACAATTGCCGCAGTTCTATCAAGAGTTATAAAGAGGATGACAAAGGTCGATGCTTCACTGGATATTGTTGATAAAATGCCACTCGCTGTACATGTAATACTGCGTCTCCAGGTTTCTTCCTCCCACACGTAGCGATCTCTGTACGCTGCATCAGCAACGCCAATACTTATCATATAGACACCCATAAGGATATCAGACAAGCTCAGGTTGATGACGAAAATGGAGTAACTTTTCATCAGATTTCCCCGATCGTACTTCAGTCGGTATACCAAGACAAACAAATTGCCGAAGACTGCACATAGCCCTATGATCCAAAGAGCTATTCTCAAAATGGACAAACGGATTAGATCAGTACACGAGGAGATACTGTCACGAGGGGCGAAGCAAGTCGGATCAGTTACCGAGACAGGTTTGGCTCAGCAAAGCGTGTAGGAATCAACGTACAAATAGCCTAGACTTGTAAGTCCTTTAAATATGTGTTCTGCTAGCTGAATACGATTGTTCCGAAGATCCAGTGTCTTGACATAAGCTAAATTGTTAAATGCGTCATGAGCAATCCAATTTATTTGGTGGGAGCTGAGATTCAAATACGTTAAGGCATTGCAGTCGACAAATGTGTCAGAGGAGAGATTGTTTAGATGAGATCCAATGAGGAAAAACTCTTTCAGTAAGTGCAAACCTGAAAACGCCATTTCATCTAAGGAGACGATAGGATTATGATTCAAGGTTAGATATTTCAACCTCGAAAGCATTGCAAATGTATGGGCGGGTACATTAGTTATGTTGTTATGGCTGATGTCAAGGCTTATGAGAGAGTTGAGTCCAGTCAGAACTGAACGATTACTAAAGGATAACGAATCAATGTGGCAGTGCTGCATAGAGAGTACGAACACTGCAGGTAATGGTATTGGAAGATTATCCGTCCAATCATTAAGACGTATTTGTATAGTTAGTCCTCGCAACGTTTCGGGAAGTTCGCCAAATATTCGAGATTTATTGACTTTTTTGTCAATACAGTGAAATATTAGACCTTGACAGGAGCAACCGTCCGGACAGATGACGTCACAGTGTCGCTCGTCATCAGCTCGCGGACAATGACCAACTCCGTCACAGACCTGACTGAGCGGTATACACTTTCTACTGCCATGGCATCTGAAATGACCAGGACAAGTGTAGGAATCTGAAAAGCAAGAGGGAACATATATATAACATCGATAAAATAATGGTGCACAAACTCAGCATACATCAATTTGATATAACTGAACAATATACTGTCATATCTTTTCATATCAAAGTTTTACTTTATACACAAACAATGTACGTATATGTATTTAAGGTGTCGCAACGTTTCAAGACCAACTGGCCCTTTTGTCAAGCTATGGCTGATTGAGCGATTTGTATTGTTTACCTGTGCAACATTGTGACGAAATAGTCTATTTCATATGTCACTCGACACGGGACGTTTCGCCTATCGATAGAGATTGTATACGCACTGTTCTTAGTAAAAATACAAATTTTGCACTTAGTCATAGCTTGACAAAGATACCAGTCGGTCTTGAAACCTTCGTCCAAACAGTTGCATATTCCGTCATTCTGGTCTGGTTACTTACCACAAAGTTGTTCGTCTTCGTTGTTTGGACAGTGCGGTACGCCATCACACAGAAACCTGACATGAAGGCAGTAGGAGTCTGGGCATTTCATGAAGTTTTCTGGGCAAGAAAATTTTTCTGAAAGGAAACCAACAAACAGATTGAATTCTGTAAACAGATACCGTGCCAGTAGTCATGTTTATAAACACTTGGGTTTCCAGTGATTTTTGCCAATATTTTTTCACATCAAGAAATAAATCGTCAAGGTCCCTTTTCAAGTATCACAGACGTTGTGAATCGTCAATAAACACTATCACAGAGAAGAAGAAAACATCAAGATCAGAAAAGTACAAAACAGTTCACCCAAGATCAATTTGTCTCAATCGAAAAGGTAAACAAGTGGATGCGCATGAATACACTGACTCTAAACAAGATAAAACTTAAAATTAGGATGGTCCCATACTGCTTCTGTCTTTCAGGTCGTTCTCGTGAAATTGTGAGTGTAATCAAACACAATATCCAATGTAGATCGTAGTGTACTCATTTCTAGGCAAAATGCAAAGAGCAACAAGGGAACAAGACTAATGTGTCTTGCAAAAGAATACATGCAGTCACATGCTAACCTCTGACGTATCAATCCCTACGACCTTAGGTTGTTGACCTCTGAACAATGAACTACCGCAAGATATACATGTATAACTCTCGAAACAGAGGTGAACCGAGAGTTATATTTACCACAATTTTGTAGATGTGTCAGATCTCTGCATGCACTCGGCTCACCAGTGACGTCAAAGTCCATCAAACAGCGATGATGAGGATAATAACTCATTCCATTCTGACACAGTCGCTGCGGCTCCAAGTATTTTGGGTCGATTAAAGTTTTATCTATGAAAGCCAAAGTAAAGTTAACGTTAACAACCATGAAAATACAAGGACATCAAAAGCGAAACAAAAGGACATCAAAAGGAAATATACAGACTACAGCATCTGTAGAATTATATCATCATAACAGAATAAAAGAACCTGGAAGTAAAGAAAACATAAGAGAATACCGATATTTGAACTCAAGACCGTTGAAACTAGGGCAAAAACTGATCTACAGTTTTTTTTTTTTTACCGAAACCCTTGAGAAAAAAATTAGATGAAGAATAAGGTGTTCCGGAATGGTAAGCGCATTTGCATCCCGCTTTGCAAATCCAGGTCCAATTCCAGTAATTTCATGTCATCGAAGCTAGAACTGGAGTAGTGACTCCGGAAACCTGAAGACTATTCATGGACAGAACTCAAAATATCAATATTTATATTGCACAACTCTAGAGCATGTGATTAATATCCATATTTTTCTTAATATACGTATCCTGATGATCAATAGATTACCTGTGTTAAGCAAACGTTTCCTGTCGGCGAGACTTCACTCTACGGCAAGGATATTTACAGTTGCCATCGTGGTCAGCTATGTAATTTTAATGCCTGTCACGTTTGAAATTTTGTTCACTATCTAACCACGATTTTTTTCTCTCTTTTTTGTAATGAGGTTTATCGTAGTTATGTTTTATTTGGTGTCTCCCTGTTAACACCTTTTGCCCTTTCGTATCGATTGTGAGTTCACATGTGTCCCTGTGCGTTGGCGTAATGATGTTGATAGAGAGGTTCCCAACCGAGAGGTAGCTGGTTATCATGTTTATCCCGAGTTAGGTAACTTTCAAATCGTATGAAAACAAAAGGGTTACCGAGTGTCTTTTAGAATTTGAAAATAATTACTTAGAATTAGATAATTATGATTATTAACCATCACAAGTTTGGAGACACTTTTATTCCACAATGTTAAGATTTTAAAGCTACTAGAAAACCATATATTTCTCTAGGAAATACCTTTTCCTGTTTTTCGATATGGGAAACTATTGCCGTAAACTATAACGTCACAATGAGAAATGGAGCCGGGAAGTATTGATACTTGACGTCCTTATAAGAAAATTGAAAAATGAAATAACGCCCGGAGTTAATACACTAGTGGGTAACCACCAACAGACTTAGCTACTCCTTACAGGTTTATCTAATGAGTCAGAAGTGAGGAAATTTATAGTATTTGAAAGGTTGATATAATAGTGTTACCTTCCGTGCACACGGGTGGGGTAATGCGCAGTGCATGTATAGATTTGTCGTCGTCCCTTTGTAGTTTGATCCAGCGGATAGGTACATTCTTTCTAATCACAACTGTGCTCGTTCCGTTGCAGGATGGATGAGGGTTTGATTGTGACGGTTCGGCAAAACATCTTTAAAACGAAACAAACATTGGACGTTCTATTTATATTACACGTATACACATGTTTTTCTTGTACAGTTTCAGCTGACAATCACAGTAAATGCATGTGTTATATGAAAATAAAGTTTATAAGATGTTCCGTGTAACACACCTTGTATTTCGTTCCGCTACAAATGTTTACAGTCTGTAATATTTACCAAGACGCGCATGCATCACGAGATAGAATAAAACAGTCGTCCATGATTGAATGTTGTTTTGTTCCCCATCCATCCAGTTGTAAATGACATGTCTAGTGCGGACATGAAACATGGTGTCAGAAGTGCCAGTCAGTGAATGCTGTCGTTTTTCACTACGTCTGTAAGTAATGTCAATGAATAGTGACGGTCTGAACATTTTGTTTTGAAACATGAAACAGACGCTCGGACCACGTGCTCGACGAGAACCCGCTCTCTGAATCATCTGAATCAGATATTGAAAACGAGGGAGAGAGGCTTAACACTTTTAGTATAAATACAAATATTACAAGTATGGCTATAGGACGGCTCCCTCCTCCGAGCAAACTAATCTTTAGCACCAAAACGGGGGCTAATCTTACGGAAGATTGGAGTAAATGGAAGGAGGAAATTCTGCTGTTTAGCGAGTTGGCGCTAAAAGGTGAAGAGCAGATAGAAAAACTGAAATGATGAAATATCTTATTTGGCCTGAAGATCATGAGATAAATTATACTCAGAGATGGGAAAGGGATGAAACCACACGAACTGTTCAGAATGAATTGGATGTTTTTGACAGGTATTGTGAGCCAAAGAAAAACGAGACTGTGGAACGCTTTAAGTTCAATATCAGAGTACAAGGGGAGGAAACTATGGAAAAATTTATCACGGATGTGAAGACTCTCTCCAAGACATGTAGCTTTGGTGAATTATCGTTCTTTAGTCAGAGATAAGATAGTTTGTGGTATTAAAGACACTCATCTTCGGGAACGATTACTTAGGACAGCAGATGTTACACTAGATAAAGTTGCGGAAATGTGCCGAATAAGCGAAACAACAAAACAAAGTGTAAGAACATTAGAACAGACTGCAACCATGTCACCAGTACACGGGGTTAAAAAAAGAGAAGGTCCACATGGCCTGCAAAAAAGCCGATAAACCAAACAACAGGGCAAATAATTCAGGGCAGGAAAAGAAAAGCAAGTTCTGTGATAGGATTCATGAAACAAAAAAAGGAAAAGTGTCCTGCATACGGTCAATAATGCAGAAAATGTACCACTTTGATGTGAAGTGTAAAGAATTCAAACCGAAACCTTATTAACAGCCATGGAGAAGAAACACACAAAGGGTGCACAATGTGGAAGAACAGTCAGACAGTAATGAAGATTATTTTGAACTAAATACTATTACACAATAGAACTCAGAATGTATTGTGCCTACAGTTAACTCCAACAATCTGATGACAAGGTTACATATAGGTAACCAACATGTACAATTTCTGTTAGAGAGTGGTGCACAGTGCAAACAACAGTTATTCCCAAAGGAAAATGTGTTCTCAAGGTTGTTAATAAAAAAATGGCACTAAATTCAACCTAGATTTCTTCGTAGTGAAAGAAAACTACACACCACTATTAGGAACCAGGAGTATGGTAGACATGGACCTGATTCAAGTTTGTCATGAGAACATTTTGGCAGTGGGCCAAACCGAAAGTGTCATGTCAAGTGTGTTAAGTATTAATGACATCACTACAAAGTATGCTGACTTTTTTGAAGGAAATGGCTACTTAGAGGGACAGTATCACCTTATTACTGATGAAACAATACCGCCTGTGGTACATCCTCCTAGAATGGTGCCAATTGCACTTCGCGATAGAGTGAAAACTGAGCTGGAGAGATTAAAAGATTTAGGTATGTTGACGCCTGTAGCTGAACCTACATCATGGGTGGCAAGCATGGTTGTAGTTGTTAAACCCAACAAGCTCAGGACTTGTATTGATCCAAAGGATTTAAATAAAGCTCTGAAACGTAGTCACTACCCTCTAGCGACAATAGATGACATACTGCCAAAGCTCCACAATGCAAAAGTCTTTAGTGTCCTTGATGCCCGTTAGGGTTTCTGGCATTTTGAGCTGGATCGAGAAAGCTCACTGCTAACAACCTTTAATACACCATTTGGCCGATATAGACGGCTAAGAATGCCATTTGGTTTGTCCAGAGCTCCCGAGGAAATTCAACGGAGGTAGGACCAAGCTGTTGAAGGCTTAGCAGAGGTTAACAGCATAGTTGACGATATACTTGTTTATGGTGAAGATTAAACAGAGGAGGAAGCAACTAAGAATCATGATAAGAAGTTGCTTGCTTACTGGAGCGATGTCGTGAAAGAGGTCTAAAACTGAACAAGGATAAGTTACGATTAAGGCAGAAGGAGGTGAAATTTGTGGGCCATCTCATAACTGCTGAGGGTCTGAAACCCGATCCAGAAAAAGTACGGGCAATGCTAGAAATGCCCAATCCAACTGACGTCACTGGAATCCGACGTTTTCAAGGGTTTGTGAATTATCTAGACAAATTCCTTTCAAGATTGAATGACAGATGTGAACCGCTACGCAAATTGACAGTACAAAATGTGGAATGGTGTTGGTTGGAAACCGACATCAAGGCTGTGGAAGACATCAAACGATTGGTCACGTCGTCACCCTTACTTAAATCTATGACCAAAAAGATGAACTGACACTACAATGTGATGCCTCTGAAAAAGGCTTAGGAGCCGCCATAATGCAGATGGGTCAACCTGTGGCGTATGCAAGTTGTGCACTGACAGATGTGGAAATGCGTTACGCACAGATCGAAAAGGAACTTCTAGCAGTGGTTTTCGGCATGAAAAAAATCCATCAGTATACATATGGGAGACCGGTAACTGTACAGGGTGACCACAAGCCATAAGGGATGATTCTTAAGAAATCTCTACAAAATGCACCAAAACGCTTACAGCGTTTTCTACTAAGACTGCAAAAGTACAACTTTGTACTCACGTATAAGAAAGGTGAAACTATGTATCTTACTAACACTCTGAGCAGGGCATATCTTGATGTCGGGGACAAAACCGCTCAGCTGGATGATGCAGAGAGACTGTAAATATGGCACAGTTCTTGCCAATCTCGGAACCACGACTGCACGAGATACAGAAGGAAACTAGCACAGATGAGTCGTTACAAACTCTCGGGGAAGCCATATTGGAAGGTTGGCCTGAGTCCAAGTCAAAGACACCTGCTCTCGCGCAACCATACATGTACTTCATGTGCGCGATGAACTTGCGGTCCAGGATGGAATTATCTTACGTGGGCAACTCGCTGTGATTCCTAGGACACTGAGAGCAGATATTATGCAGTCTTCGCATGTTGGAGTCGAAGGTTTCCTGCGGAGGGCGCGTGAAACAGTTTATTGGCCGAGGATGAGCTTTGAGGTACGCGACTATATAGAACAGTGTGGTGTATGTCGTTCATTTGACACAAAACAACAGAAAGAGACTTTAATTTCACATGATGTACCAGATAGGCCTTAGGCAAACCTGGGTCAGATCTGTTCTATTTTGATCAGAAGAACTATCTAATTAAAATTGATTATTTCTCAAATTATTAGGAAATAGACTACCTACAGGACACCACATCGAAGACGGTAATCCGAGCCTTACGGAGTCAGTTTGTGCGTCATGGAATACCTGATATTCCGTGTAGTGATAATGGTACTCAGTTTAGCTCTGATGAATTCCTGAGTTTCAGCAAAGAATGGGAAGACGGGATTTTGATCATGTTACCTCGTCGCCAGGTTACGCCCAAAGCAATGGAAAATTGAAAAAGCAGTCAAAACTGGTAGGAGGTTAATGAAGTTGGCTAAAACTTCACACAAAGACCCATTTCTGGCACTCCTTGATTACAGAAACACTCCGTCACAGGGTATGGACAGTAGCCCTGTACAGCGTATCATGAATAGACGCACAAAAACACTGATGCCACCGAAACCAGAAGTTCAGTTGTCGTCAAATGCTAAGAAACATTTGAAGGGTGTTAAGGAACGACAAACTTTCTACTACAATCAAACTGCGAAAAACCTGAAAACTCTAGGTAATGGATAAGTTGAAAGAATAGTCCCACATGAGGGTATGCTAAATAACCAAAAAACCTGGAAACGTGGAGTTGTAAAGGAACAAGTAAACAAAAGGTCATATGACGTCACCACTGAGGATGGAAGAACGTATCGGCGAAACCGACGTCATATGAGACTGTCAAAGGAACTTCACGCCGGAAGTTCAGGATTTTGGACCGAATGTGGAAATGGAGAAGGAACCACATGTTGCTCAGGAACCATATGTCGAGACCAATTTGGTACCACCACCTAAAGCACCACCCAACATGTGTGTCAGGACCAGGTCAGGCGGATAGGTGGCTCTTCCTTTGAAATTTAAAGATTATTTACAGTGGAACAGTTCTAATTACCAATAATGACAATAAAGTATCATTTGATTTGATTTCTTCTGAACAGCAATTAATAGATTTGCATGGACTTATTGTTGGATAAATATGGTAATGTCTGTGTCATAGGTCACACACTTTAGTATAAATATGGTAATGTCTAGTTCCAGGATATCTTTCTAATCAATTTAATTTGTCTAACAACAGATATACTAGATCAGCATCCCAAAACTCTGTCAAGGTATCCAAACACCGTACCACATTTTATTCCAAACACTTTTTGGTACAAGGGAGCCAGATTTGGAATAATTTACCGGTTGAAGTAAGACTCTCTTCCTCCTTGAAAAAACTCAAACAAAATATGATTGGTAACATTAAGAATGCGGTTTAATTGTCTTTTATTTTTACTATTATACTTTTTAGATACAGCTTTGATTTGTTTTATTTTCGCTATATTGGCGTGTATTCTGTCAATTTTTAGCTTTTGCTACATTAGCATATATGTAAATTAGACATTTTGTCTTTTAATGAAAACCATAATGGGTTAAGCACGGAATATATTTCGTGCTTCTGTGATAATTTTATTGTAATTGTATTGAACGACCGTTTAAATTATGAAATAACTGTGATATGAATTGCTGTTTTAGTAGACCAACAATTATTTTATGTACATTTATTTGATGTGATACTACTTTGTCTTTTAACTAACCAATTTTACTAACAGAGGACACTGTGGAAGATTAGCTTTGCTAAACAGGTTTTGTATCCTCAATAAATAAAGTTTATTATTATTATTATAATGACAATATAGTTTTTGTGCAGTAGAAACTTTAGGACAAATTCTTTATGAACTTTATCAAAATACATTCTTCTAGAATTTAAAACTCATAATTTTCTACCTAGAGAATTTGTCGTATGAATTTCTAGTCATTTCAGCCTTTAAGTAAATTTGTCATTTAATTCCGTCTAAATTTTTAAAAAGGAGGAAAGATGCAACACATCTTGTATTTCGTTCCGCTACAAATGTTTACAGTCTGTAATATTTACCAAGATGCGCACGCATCACGAGACAGACTAAAGCAGTCGTCTAGTGCGGGACATGAAACACTCCGGTAATAAGAGTAGTATGTATACTCTGTATGATTGCCAACTGAAAACAGCTCAATACTTTCAACTACATAACAGACATTTTCTGATATTTAACTAATCTTTTTTATTATTGTTTTTTTTTTCTCTCAAGTAGACGCGTAGGTACGAATGAGTAAATTGCAGCAAAGTTAGGTCCCTGAAACACCTTATCGAAGAGTATAATAAATAGAATAGCTCCTCGTATAATCTAACTGTATTGTGGAACAACCATATTTGTGACGACAGCAATAATATGGTACGCGTACATTCTTCAGTGACTCGTTAAAGGAAAGTATACAAAATCAAAGTCGACTGAAAGATTACGCACTGGGGAGGCAATGCCAATTCAGCAAGAGAATGTATGTAAGACATGAATGACCCCTTGACCCTGTAGTTGAACTATAAATAGCTTGGCCTTGGTGCTAGGTCTCCTCCAAGGTATGCTCAAATTTGACCTTTGTATGAATTTTGAATAAAATATGATAATAAAGGAAATCAGTGAAGCCATGACAATAAATATCAATGGAATGAGACGGACGTGCGTAACAATATTACCCCCCCCCCAAAAAAAATAATTAATAATAATAATAAAAATAAATAAATAAATAGAGATAAATAAAAAAGGCAGGGGCACTGTACCACCACATGTGACACTCAGTTTAACTACACTGAATATACTGACCCGAAGTGGTGACAGAGGCTTCCGACATTTCCACAGTAGGTTAAGTTTTGCATGTGTCTCCCGTCCAACTCGCTAGAAAACTGGATGGATGGTATACGCACTGAGTCGATGGACACTTTGTAGCAATGTTCCACTAGTTGGTAACAATCCCGTGAGTGTTTGATTAGAGCTTCGAGGATGTGTTCACTTTTGTATTGGACAGAGACAGGTTGTTCGTTAATCAGCATGATGGTGGTATACCCGATGTTTCCCGTAGTGAAATAGCAGTTTTTCTGTTCCGCCATCGTACCGACTAAAGGAGAGAACGGCCAGGTCATCAGTGCTACGTCATCTCTGTATGAGCAGTGGACAGCTTCATAACCTATTGACAACATAAATATGTTACCGATGACGTCATAATGTAGTAACTGTAGAGTACTCAAAATTTTCTTCTGAAATTAAACGATTTTTTGTCTTAATTTCTTTTTAGATTTTTTTTTTTAATCGAAAAAGAAATTAAGACAAAAAAATCGTTTAATTTCAGAAGAAAATTTTGTGTACCATTACGATGATTATATCTGGCAGGTGATTTACACACAGCTTTCGTTCGGCGCATACTTTTTTCAGTTTCGTTAAATATGTATTTTCACTCAGTATTGAATAAGTCATATTGTCGTTCTATATAGCATCAGTTCTCCTTTCACAAACCACTTAGCAGCCGTGTGAAATTGAAGGATTGTTGTTTCCGCGAATTTCTCAAAAAACCCAGAAACACTGATGCAAACATTGCCATAAACAGTAAATCAAAGAATTAAACATAGACAGCTATCATATCACGTACGTTGTTTTCCCATGTATGTGAAAATGTACCATTTTAGATTTAGAGACAGTTAGGGGTGTTGTGAACTTTGCTAACATATATTTATTTATGTGTTAATTAGTGTACGCAATGCAAATGATGGTTATCTACAAAATTGCTACTCGTACCTCCATTGTGTCAGAAATTTTGGACCACCTAAAGCTGCGCCCTCTAGCAGATTGACGTAGAGATGCTCGTCTGACCATGTATCATAACATTGTCAACCAGAAAGTCGCTATCGTAAAATCAGACAGATTAATCCCTACAGTTAGAAAATCCCGAACAAACCACCAGTTTTCGTATCAAATTCCCCACTCAAGAACCCAGACCAGAAAGGCATCATTCTTCCCTCGAACTATACCCGAATGGAATAAACTCCCACCTGACATTATTTCGAGCCCCACAACGGAATTATTCAAATCAGCCCTCTACCGTCACTTTTCAAACGCAAATAGACCATCTCGTATCTTATAAAAAAAATCTCTTTCCATTTTTCACTCCTCGTCTGACATTTTATCTTCAAATTGTTGAAGTTGGTAAGTACCATTTAGAAGTAGAAATACTTATTTTTCGAAATACATAAAATATTGAGTTTACCAAAAAGTCAAGTTTATATTATTTAAACTAGGGGAAGATACTTAAGAGAAATATTGCCTAAAATCGGACTTTATTTCCTGCCGCCAAATGTCTCCACTTAAGTGTTACATAATGGTTAAGATGCAATCATAAGTATCGTTTCAGAAATTACTTGTTTTACTGGTATCGTTCCAAACAATATAATAACATATCGGTACCTAATATGGATCGAAACAGTTAAACAACAGCTGAAAGATATTCAGTAGATATCGACATAGTTAATAATCACCATTTTCTAGGAGGAAGAAATTATATATGTAACCATCATGTGAGTTTTTTATGTGTAGTATACAACGTAAGGTATTAATTTAACCTCCTTTATAGTAATATGTGTGATTATCCGCTGCCGTACATTACACAAACAATACATTCATGCGAGAAAACAGTGTTACTTTTGAAGTTAAGTATTATTATTGAGAAGTGAAATTAGTGAAGTTTTATTTTTTTGCATTATGAAATTTTCCTATTTTGAATCTTTAAATAATTCGTGGTATAGGTATTCGAGTGTGTAGAATTGCGCAGTTAAAATTAATTTCGGGTCGATTATTAAAAGTAAAAAAAAGTGGATTTTTCCATTTCACAAAATACACCATTTGCAGCATGTATAAAATTTAAAATACTCACCATTGCTTTCAAGGTGCACTCTTACCGAAGTATCATTACACACTCGCTCGTGACAATGGGTCGAGCAGGAATATGTTGGGTTTCCAAGGTTACAGTCCTTCTCATTCTCATCACTTCCATCATAACAATCAGGAATCCTGTCACACATTCTATATATAGGTACATGTCTCTTGGATGGACATGGCCATACGGTCTGTATCTTAGGATAACCTAGAAAGGACCGTATCATTTTAGTAGAAGAACTATTGGAAGTCTTTCCAAAATTTGGCAATAAGCTGTAAATAACATATTTTAGGCCCAAAAAGATTGATTCCTTGGTTCTCAAGCCCGCGCGCAATTTAGGTCACCGCATTGCCGATTTTATCGTGAAAGTATCAAAATAAAACCGTGAATGCGCCAGCCGCCGTCTTTAAAAATACACAGGCAGGCNCTGAGAACCAAGTAATTAATTTTATTTGGCCTTAGTTCGGCCCACTTCATGTCGTTAACTGACCTTTCCATATTTGTTTCAAGTTATATTTCAGTTCTTTTATAGAAAGTGACAATTACATTTACAATCAGTTAAGTTTTCGTGACTTCTACTTTCGTGGTTGTGTTGCAATCAAGAAAACTGTACTCGCTCATTAACAGAAATACAGGATGTTTCTCAAATGAAATTTAATATAATCTTAATATATCGCTTCTTATAAACGTCTGGTAAAGTTTTTTCATGAAATGATATATTTCTTCAAATGTTGGGCGCGTGATTCGATGTTATGTTATGGTACCTACCGTTACATGTTGTTGACCATTCGTCCGATCCGTCTGCACACTCCCTCTCACTATCGCAGACGTCATAACCGGCGATGCATTGGCCGTTATGGCATGTCCACTGACCCCACAAACAAGTCGACTTAACTACCGAAAATATAAAAGTACAATTACGATATGTCATAATGTAATAATGTGCACATAGCTTGGTTAATCCATATAAAGAGTATCTGAATTAGTTTCCACTGCATAACCCAATATCATGACGTCACTTACGTTGAAAAAAATTCTTTAAGTAGATTCCTTCCATCGGTGGAAAAGTAATGCTGAAAAACGTAATGCGGCCTCACATTTTGTTTGAACGCATCATGGTCAACTAAATAAGGTGGCTACTGAAGTTTGAATCAAACCAACTGAATGGGGAATTAAACATAGATTCAGATATAAATGATGTTATACATGCTTGAAACTGATGAATTTCGTGCAGAAATGTGAATGGGTTTTTTTATGCAGGTTTTTCGGTCCTTTTGGCAACAGCATTCAAGTTGTTTGAAAATTTATGTTTTCGTGCTGCTGAAGATGTCTTGCTTCGATGTTCCGCCATAAAAAAGGATATGTCTCTAATCAAAACAAAAAAAACCACCAAGAAACTACATTAAAGACCGAGACAGAAGTAGGTTGTACAATGATGAGGTCATCTGTGTAATGAAAACAAAAAAGGAAATTTCATTCTTTTCAATTGATTCAATGTCAGTATCTTTTAATTTAAAATATCATCGGCGAGTTTATTATAAATTCCGATGGAAAGGGAACCTGTTTAGATTATTTTTATCGGGCATTGCTTCCTTAATATAACATTTATTGGTGCAAGATTGAAGTAAATATCCTCAAACACCTCAATTCATCGTGAGCTGATGACGTCATCTCATTGAAATATGTGACGTCAAAATGAGTGTTATAACATCGTATATGTTATACATTAAGACTAATTAATAGCTATATAAATGTAACAACGAATATAACGGCGTTTAAATAAACTCGTGACAAACTTACAACAGTTACGCTCGTCCGATCCGTCATAACAATCCTGGTAAAAATCACACACCAAGTTCAACGAGATGTAGTTTCCATTGTCACATCGGAAGTTTACCACGTTAGTCTCGCCTGTAGTAGAGAAGTGTCAAGAGCAAGAGCAACAAAACTTCCTTTTCTAGTTCCTTTCAAAGGGTATGTTATAAATGGCATATTGATCTCAGTTCACAGACAGAGGACGCAATTGAAAGTTATTCAAAAATCTATAAGATAATGCTAAATACAAGTGTTCAAGGGAGATAATTCTAAGCATAATGTGTCATGTTATATAGACCGCTTAGAAGAAGCAAGATAGAGAAGGACGTCGGCTTACTAGTGGAAGTCTGGCACGCTTGACTTTCGTCTGATTGATACATACAATCCGGGCGATGGTCACACACAAAGTAGGACAGGATGTACTCCCCTGTCTGGGTACACCGGAACAGGCGGTCAAAGACGTCCGGACTCGTCACGTTTACGTCACTTGATTCAGGTATACGTGTAGCTGGAATATAAGCTGACGGCATCATATTTCCAAAACACGTCATTGTACGTTAAATGACATATTTTGTATTAAACATCACATTGAAATAGACATATGACATGTTACTGCATTAATTTATTCATATTTATTCTTCTATTAATTATATTTATGATAACGCGTCATTGGTACTTTTTTGGTGTGTATCGATCAGGTAACTACTGGTGAAAAGGTTTAGCGAATGTATGTAAATTCTCTATAGTGTTATATTGGACACTACTATCAAAGTAGTAATACACATTAAATAAATGATAATATTGATACAATTTAACCATTCTATTCCTTTGGTAAGAAAAAGCAACACATTTTTCATCACATTGAAATAGACATATGACATGTTACTGCATTAATTTATTCATATTTATTCTTCTATTAATTATATGTATGATAACGCGTCATTGGTACTTTTTTGGTGTGTATCGATCAGGGAACTACTGGCGAAAAGGTTTAGCGAATGTATGTAAATTCTCTATAGTGTTATATTAGACACTACTATCAAAGTAGTAATACACATTCAATAAATGATAATATTGATACAATTTAACCATTCTATTCCTTTGGTAAGAAAAAGCAACACATTTTTCAGCATTAGTACAATGTATGGCCCTGTAAGTATGAGTTATATAACACTAAAAGTATTGCTTTGTATCCTCTGTTGTAACTCTAGGAGTATATCTAAAAGTGTATCAATTATAACTGATGCCGTGTGTGTTTGTCTCCTATGAGTGTTTCTATGATAATATCAATTACTATTTATAAGTGATATGTCTGGCTCTATTACACTGTTTGATTTTAATATCATTTCTAGACTTAAGAACAAAATGAGGTGAAATATTACATAAAGAAAACTTTTGGATATAACCGAATGAGGTGACTTGACCTGTGTATGAGGCAGGCATGTTAATTAAACATTTCTGTATGCGGAAAGCAACTATCAGTTGACGTACGCTGTTGTTCCGTTTCCACCTCCTTTTCGATGGAATCTAGGCAGATTGTATACCACGACAAGCATCTACTGTATACCCAGTTACTGAAAGTATCCCCTCTTATAGAAATAGATACACACGTGCTCTGCTTATCCACATAACCGTAGTCCATCCTGAAAAAGTGGTTTGAAACATTGCTTTCTAGAACAGGTGTGATGAAGAATAATTAAAAAATGGTACGAGTTGAAAAAAGCTGAAGGTGTCACCAAAACATGTCAGCGGGACATATGAAATATACCGCAATTTACAATTTTAAAAACAAACCAACACACTTATTTTGTATCGTAAACGGCTTTATCATATGTGAGAATTTTGCTGGCATCACGTTTAAATATTCGTGTTTTTCATCTATACTTTGTTAAGCTTTCTGCATCAGCAACAACATTTTTAATAGGTGCTGCCTGACCTCTTTTTCTAGTATTTTCGGAAATGTTCAGATACTTTTGTTTTAACAAATATGAGTTCAACGTTATTTCAGGATTGTAAAGGTGTTATGTAATTCTTCTATAAGAATACCAAGACTTGCTGTGATCCTTATTTAGTAATGTCATTAAAACTGAATGGTGGCGTTAAAGTCATTTTTAATGAAAGAAGTAAACTTACAACACTGCTTAATGTTTAAAACAAAACACTGGAAATACTTACCAGGCTGTGAAAGTCAGTCGTTTAGACATGTCTCTTTTGAAGTCTTTCCATTGAAAGTTTCTTTCTTCATTGATCAGTTCTGTTTCAAATTCATTGATGACCGACAAAAACATCGCAAACACATGAATTATAAATATCACCACAATCACTTAAAAATATACATCACGTGGAACGAAACTCAAACGAAATCTTGTTAAATATCCAAAAGGTTCCCACTTCCATGCTTTATTATGGAGTATTCACACTGACGGATTTATGTTGGCCAGAATAAACCCCCGTATTGATATACAATGAAATGAATTTCCTTCATTTTTGTTTAATCTGTGTCCTACATTTGTTACTTGGGAGAACAATTGGATGATTGCATTATATAAAGAGGCTTACGCAAATTGCAGATTGGGAAATTTAATAAGAAAGAGAAAACACAACAAAGCGTTCTGCAACAAGTTTCGGTAATCAAACTCAACACTCAGATCACTCGACAGATTGTGACGGTATTATACATATATCACGATAACACTAAGAGTACTGTCAACATAGATAATGTAAACTATGTTTTATGATTGTATAATAAGATCATTGACAGAAAATACCTTATGCCCTACCTGACACCCAAATAAGCATGGATATAAAATATATATCTGATTGCTTTATTTAAAGGATGAAAGAAATGGAGGAATTATATTTTTGTAATTGTTCTACCGGTATNGGGGGGGTCATATCTATACACATGGTAAATAATACATACAATCTCAATGAAATACATTTATAGAGACTGTTAAAGAATTTGAAGTGTGATTAACAAACTTACTAATCGGGAAAAGTGGTTCTAAACCAGGTAACACTCCTTCCTGGTGAACGTATTTAGAAATTATGTCCGACGCCACTAGTTGTTCTTTCCAGTGAGTAATAGAGAAATCGTCACTCCATTGCCTTCGCTTGCCAATGTCACTTACAGACAAGCAACCCTTTCTAAAACAAAAACAAATTTTGAATTGTGTACCACAAAGAGGACAAAACAAAATAACCTGTTTATTCGAACATGCTAATACATGTACTTGTTTTTTTTTGTTTTTCTTTGAAAGCAAAGGTGCATATATAATGGTGATTAAAAAAATCCGCAACAATATTATTTAAATTAAGTCTTCTCATTGACCCGAACATTTCATTAATTTCATAATGACACATAATATTTAGGGGATATCCAATGGTTTCCAGATGAATAAAATTTACATAACGATTGTGATTTTTTTCCAACTACATTTGAAAAAGAAGACAGTGTTTGTAATACTACGAACACGCACCTTATTATCTATTGATCATTTCTAAAGACGAAAACAAATTGCCAACCACCCACCATAAATCATATTGTGTAGTTTCATTTAACGCCACAGTCAAATGGCACATTTGTTTTGTTAGGTCAAAGTTCTTTCCATATTTTCACCAATGAATTATCATGTACATGTATATAAGATTCTTCATATATCACCGGTAGAATTGCTATAAACCGATTTTAATTTAGGGTCTGCAAACATATATTAATCCCGATAATTATCTAGTTTGTATTTAAAATGACTATTCACTTTTTTCGCTGCAGCACTGTTTTCACTGCCTGATGATCATTTACAGTCGCATGTGAAATATATTATGCACGTAATTGTTCATTGAATGAAGGGCTTTTGAACTAATTCTACAACCTGTCGGCCCTGAATATATCCAAACCGCCAATTCTTCCCCTGAACTCATTTACTTTATTTTTAATATTACCTATTAAGTAAGATTCAAAGAAACAATAGATATAAACAGTATACTTACCCTCGTACATATATACCATCTACTTCATCTTTGTCTATGCAGGTGTCTACAAGCCAGAACATACCAAAACGTAACGACGAGCAAAATCGTGTCATCAGATTGGCAACCGAAGCAATAACATCCCATTAAATCAAAGAACATTATTTCAAATGTTTTCTTTTGTCACATTGGATGTTTTGCCTTCATGCATGAATGGCTCCTCCAGTTACACTCGTTATGCCTTTAATGCATTGGATAATCTTACAAAATTGTTTGTGCATTTTTTGTGCATACATTTTGTACTCCCTCATGGTAAAAAAGAAACTTTCCGATGATGCAGGTGTGTTCCCTATTTATACTCCGTGTGTAACCCTCTGATATATTGGGTATTCTATCTTGGTATATACTGGGTGTTATCCTCTGATATATTGGGTATTCTACCTTGATATATACTGGGTGTTACCCTCTGATATATTGGGTATTCTATCTTGGTATATACTGGGTGTTATCCTCTGATATATTGGGTATTCTAGCTTGGTATATACTGGGTGTTATCCTCTGATATATTGGGTATTCTATCTTGGTATATACTGGGTGATATCCTCTGATATATTGGGTATTCTACCTTGGTATATACTGGGTGTTATCCTCTGATATATTGGGTATTCTACCTTGGTATATACTGGGTGTTATCCTCTGATATATTGGGTATTCTACCTTGGTATATACTGGGTGTTATCCTCTGATATATTGGGTATTCTACCTTGGTATATACTGGGTGTTATCCTCTGATATATTGGGTATTCTACCTTGGTATATACTGGGTGTTATCCTCTGATATATTGGGTATTCTACCTTGATATATACTGGGTGTTATCCTCTGATATATTGGGTATTCTACCTTGGTATATACTGGGTGTTATCCTCTGATATATTGGGTATTCTACCTTGATATATACTGGGTGTTATCCTCTGATATATTGGGTATTCTACCTTGGTATATACTGGGTGTTATCCTCTGATATATTGAGTATTCTACCTTGGTATATACTGGGTGTTATCCTCTGATATATTGGGTATTCTACCTTGATATATACTGGGTGTTATCCTCTGATATATTGGGTATTCTACCTTGGTATATACTTGGTGTTATCCTCTAATACATAGGGCATTATATCTTGATATATACTGGGTGTTATTCTCTAATATATTTGGTATTCTACCTTGGTATATACTGGGTGTTCCCTCTGAATTTTTGGTTATTCTACCTTGATATATACTGGGTGTTATCCTCTGATATATTGGCTTTTCTACCTTGGTATATACTGGATGTTATTCTCTGATATATTTGCTATTCCTCCTTGGTATATGCGTGGTGTTATCCTCTGATATATTGGCTATGCTACCTTAGTATATAATATGTGTTATCCTCTGATATATTGGCTATGCTACCTTAGTATATAATATGTGCTATCCTCTGATATATTGGGTATTCTATCTTCGCATATCCTTTGTGTTACCCTCTGATATATCGGCTATGCTACCTTGATATATATCCTCAGATATATTGGCGATGCTTCCTTGTTATATCCTGGGTGTTATCCTCGGATATATTGACTATGCTGTCATGTTATATGCGTGTTATCCTCTGATATATTGGGTATTCTACCTTGATCTATACTTGGTGTTACCCTCTGATATATTGGCTATGCTACCTTGGCATATTCCGTGTGTTATCCTCTGAAATATTGGCTATTCTTCCTTGGTATATACTGAGTGTTATTCTCTGATATATTGGCTATTCCTCCTTGGTATATACTGGGTGTTATTTTCTGATATATTGAGTATTCTATCTTTGTATATACTTGGTGTTTTCCTCTGATATATTGGGTATTCTATCTTGGTATATACTGGGTGTTATCCTCTGATATATTGGGTATTCTACCTTGATATATACTTGGTGTTTTCCTCTGATATATTGGGTATTCTACCTTGGTATATACTTGGTGTTATCCTCTAATACATAGGGCATTATATCTTGATATATACTGGGTGTTATTCTCTAATATATTTGGTATTCTACCTTGGTATATACTGGGTGTTCCCTCTGAATTTTTGGTTATTCTACCTTGATATATACTGGGTGTTATCCTCTGATATATTGGCTTTTCTACCTTGGTATATACTGGATGTTATTCTCTGATATATTTGCTATTCCTCCTTGGTATATGCGTGGTGTTATCCTCTGATATATTGGCTATGCTACCTTAGTATATAATATGTGTTATCCTCTGATATATTGGCTATGCTACCTTAGTATATAATATGTGCTATCCTCTGATATATTGGGTGTTCTATCTTCGCATATCCTTTGTGTTACCCTCTGATATATCGGCTATGCTACCTTGATATATATCCTCAGATATATTGGCTATGCTTCCTTGTTATATCCTAGGTGTTATCCTCGGATATATTGACTATGCTGTCATGTTATATGCGTGTTATCCTCTGATATATTGGGTATTCTACCTTGATATATACTTGGTGTTATCCTCTGATATATTGGGTATTCTTCCTTGGTATATACTGGGTGTTACCCTCTGATATGTTGGTTATTCTACCTTGATATATACTGGGTGTTACCCTCTGATATGTTGGTTATTCTACCTTGATATATACTGGGTGTTATCCTCTGATATATTTGCTTTCCTACCTTGGTATATACTGAGTGTTATTCTCTGATATATTGGCTATTCTTCCTTGGTATATACTGAGTGTTATTCTCTGATATATTGGCTATTCCTCCTTGGTATATACTGGGGGTTACCCTCTGATATGTTGGTTATTCTACCTTGGTATATACTGGGTGTTATCCTCTGATATATTGGCTATTCTACCTTGGTATATACTGTGTGTTATCCTCTGATATATTTGCTTTTCTACCTTGGTATATACTGAGTGTTATTCTCTGATATATTGGCTATTCCTCCTTGGTATATACTGGGTGTTACCCTCTGATATGTTGGTTATTCTACCTTGATATATACTGGGTGTTACCCTCTGATATATTGGGTTTTATATCTTGATATATACTGGGTGTTACCCTCTGATATATTGGGTATTCTATCTTGATAAATACTGGGTGTTACCCTCTGATATATTGGGTATTATATTTTGATATATACTGGGTGTTATCCTCTGATATATTGGGTATTATATTTTGATATATACTGGGTGTTACCCTCTGATATATTGGGTTTTATATGTTGATATATACTGGGTGTTAACCTCTGATATATTGGGTATTTTTATCTTGATATATACTGGGTGGTATCCTTTGATATATTGAGTATTCTTTCTTGGTATATACGTGGTGTTATCCTTTGATATATTGGCTATGCTACCGTGATACATACTGGATGTTATCCTCTGATATATTGGGTATTCTACCTTGGTATATACTGGATGTTATCCTCTGATATATTGGGTATTCTACCTTGGTCTATACTGGGTGTTATCTTCCGTTATAGATGATAGTCTACCGTGATATCTAGTGGTATTATCCGCCGTTGTACTTGACACAATTTGTAATCTATCTTGGTAAACACTGGTGTTATCCTCTGATATTCTACTTCATATACTGGGGTTTTCTATCTTGGTTTAAGCGTTCATGTATATACTTGGTGTTATCCTCTAATAAATGGGTATTCTCCCTGGGTATATGCCCGGTGTTATTGCCAGATAAACCAGATATTTTACTTGGTGTTATTCTCGGATGTACTTTATACTCTGCCTTGGTAAATGACACATTACAGTACATGTTTAGTTCCGCTCTACTCATACTGTATTTGTGCATGGAGTTATATCCCTTGTTACATTGTACACTCTCCACTATATGTATAGATATGTGTTGAAATACAAATGATGAACACGTCTCGTCGTTGTGTGTTGTCATTCCTAGATCATTGTGCATCGCCAGGCAATTGTTAAGTCCTCACCAACAGTAACAAATAATTAAACATTATAGTAAATACTGGTTGTTATCCTCTGATTTCCTAAATATTCTGCCTTAAAGCATAAAGCATGTAACTGTACTTACCGTAAGAAACAGACACGTTGTGCAGCGCGGAAGTGGAAGTATTTGTGTCCTTCTGAACACTCGTACGGCACTCATACATGCTGCCGTCTTGGATGGAACAATACTCAATTTGTAAAACACTCAACGTGGTATGATCGGGGTTGGTTGTTGTTGTTATTGTCGTCCTGTACTTCCATCTGCCCTGGTCTGGTTCTATCTTGACGTTGGTTCTGTTCCCGACGAGGAACCATGTTAGGGGTAACATTGATGGATAGGGGGCTGTACACGTCAACGTCAAATTTTCCTGGAATTTCAGCTCGTCAGGCCCAGTTACAGCGAACGCTTTGGAGAAAAACACAAAGAATGCACTTTTGTATTACAATACAATACCAGTACCTTAATGTTTTGCTCATTGCCCGGGGATTTTTGATTATTCACTTTAAAATGCCTTTGTATATCTGATGAAACGGGTAATGAGACGATGCTCTAAAACATGCAGGCTATGCGTTATCTTTCAAATCCAAATCTTATACTTTTGCAAATATAAGCAAAACCACAACAAAATGAAAGACATTATCAGGCCGTATCATCGATCGTGTGCCTGAAAATTGAGTCATATATTTGGGTTAAAACATGTACGTGGAGTACTCGAAGTCCCCATATATGTTAACCCTCAGAGTAGTGAATGGTACTTAAACATATCAAGGATATATAGATTCAACTCACATTTGAATCTTAACATTGATAGATAGCTAGGTAAGTAAGGGTGAGAGCTCTGTTTAACTAACGTTTAAAATTGAACCTAGTATTTACTGCGGATAATAGTTCGTATATAGCAGGTAACCTGCGGACAATACGCAGACTTTATTTCCTAAACACAATACGTTCAGGTGTGCAAGCAATATGACGAAGTAGTCAATACGCACGAAATAACGGTAAATCGATTTACTCTGGTAGTTTGTAAAGGTAAAGGTTACCACTGCATCAGTTATAATCGCAAAAAGAAGTAAAATGCAGAGTTGCCCTCCCTACTTAAAAGCAGATGTAGTAGCCAAAAAGGAGAGGAAATGCAGNCGAGGTGCCCCCCCCCCCCCCCCCATATAGCAGATATAGTAACCACAATGGAGCAATATGCAAAGTTATCCCCTTTACTTTATAGCAGATGCAGTTGCCAAAAAGGAGTAAAATGCAGAGTTGCCCCCCCCCTATGATATACCAGATGTAGTAGCCAAAATGGAGTGAAATGCAGAGTTGTCCCTCCTACTATGTAGTAGCCAAAAAAGAGTTGTCCACTCTACTTTATAGCAGATGTAGTAGCAAAAAATGAGTAAAATGCAGAGTTGCCCCCCCCCCTATTATATATCAGATGTAGTAGCCAAAAGGGAGTGAAATGCAGAGTTGCCCCTCCTACTATGAAGTAGCTAAAAAGAGTAGTCCCCGCTACTATATAGCAGATGTAGTAGCCAAAAAGTAGTGAAATGCAGAGTTGTCCCCCCCCCCTATTATATAGCAGATGTAGTAGCCAAAAGGGAGTGAAATGCAGAGTTGCCCCCCAAATATATAGCAGATGTAGTTGTCAAAAATGAGTAAAATGCAGAGTTGCCCCCCAACTTTATAGAAGATGTAGTAGCCAAAAAAAGAGGTAAATGCAGAGTTGTCCCTCCTACTATGTAGTAGCCAAAAAGGAGCAATATGCAGAGTTGTCCCCCCTAAACATTCCTTATTTCTTGGACGCTTGCAAAAATGTCAGTTTTTTCTATGTTTGTGTTGATGCAAATCGACAGAAGTAGAAATATGTTTTTAATAATGTAAACAAAATCAATGACAAAATGGTATCACACATAAAGTATTGCACTGCCCTGATAGATAATATTGGGACATTTTGGGCTCTGCTTTAACGCCAGTTGATGGCGATATGAATCGTAAGATGATCGCTGTTACTGAACTATTTAAACATAAGTATTAACGATTTCAGATATGTCTGCTTAGTAATGTAGCATTCCCATCAATTTCCTGTCCTAAGAAAAGGGTATATAATGATTGTTTTTCATAGTGTGGGGGAAAACATATTTGAACAGACTTAAGTGGAAGAAGTGCCAGGCGTGGATCTGGTCTGAAGATCGAAATGGAAAGACCGATCGATCATCTGACAAACTAGGTCATTTTGTAGGCTGATTACGACATACCAGTATATCAACTTTATCCAGTTTCATCGTATCAAAAATATCAATAAAAAAATAACATATTGGGAAAAATCCCAAGAACGGGTGTTTGGCAACTTAAGAAGCTTTCCCCAAAGGGTTGAGGGATTCTATTAATCTTACATTGGTGTCCCTTATGGCAAAGATGCATTTTGCATACGTATTTCTATTTATGACTGCATCTGGCATAAGCTTCTTCTACTACCGAAGTGATTGTGTGTTCAGATCAAAATGTTTTAGGTTTAAAAACGATTCAAAAGATCAAAATTAAGCGAGTCAATATACATGTGTAGCTACGAAGTTGTTACGAAATTGAAATGCACATATTTAGTTTGGGCTCTATCAGAGGATTGCGTGCGCACTGCCGTGAGCAAGTATTGATCCGTCTGTAACCATGTGCTCCTGAAGCTGATGTTGATGCTTGTTTTGTTAACCAAACGTAATGTGATTGGATGAGTATGCACAACGACGAATGTGCATCGATAGGATATAACTTGAAATCCAGCAATTCGAATTTTACTTTATCATGTATCCGTCACACACCGAACATCGAACGTTAATAATTCCGGTAGATGCCACATGTGTTTACAAATATCAATACATATCAAGTACAATGTAGTAAAATATCCCCATATCGTTTCACAATATCCGGAATGTATTGTAATGATTTAGTTTGAACAATTAAATCATCCCTAGGTGGTTAAAGGACAGATTTATTAGTAATAATGTTACGAAATTATTTATACTGATTATATGACATGAATAAAATCCTTTATCCCATGTTTTGTTTTTGCTGGATAAAGGGTCCAGAATTCAGGGTCATTTAAACGTTGTTGGTTTTTTTTGCTTGACAAAAGGATTTAATTTTGATAGATTATTTCAAATTCATGTATTTTATTTTGGCAAAACTATGAAGCAAAATGAAAAGTTGTATAAAATAAATTTTGACATGTTACTTCAGACAAAATACAAGCTTCTGGCTCATTAAAAAAAGCAAGTTGCAGAAATATTGATTACAAAATAAGTAAAACAAGGCAAAGTATTGCAAGGCAATTCATAGTCACCCACCGGTAATGATTTCCATGTTTACAAAACAGCACACTTATGTCAGGAAGCATAGGTTACAGGGAGGTCATCGTGACCTACTTCTTGCAATACCCCATCCCAATATGTCCTTGTACACCAAATATGCTTACTCAAGGTAATATAGTATAGAACATATGCCAGGGACAAACTTTTTCAAAAGTAAAGTTCAAAGGTCAAGTCATACGTCACAGTTACCTAATTCTTGCACTCCGCAAGCCGCCATCCCGATATGTCTTTGTTGACGAAGTATGGTTACTCCAGATGAAATAGTATAGAAGATATGCTCCGGACAAACATTTTCAAAAGTGAAGGTCATAAGTGAAGTGATGGGTCACAGTTATCTAATTCTCGCTCTCTGCACTCCTCCATCCCCAGATGCCATGGTACATCACATCTGGTTACTCCAGGTGGAATAGTATAAAAAATATGCCCCGGACAAACATTTTCAAAAGTTAAGGTCAAAGGTCAAAGAATAGGTCACAGTGAGGTCATAGTGACCTTCGTTTTGCACTGTGCACTCCGCCATCCTAAGATGTCTTAGTATACCAAAGCTCGTTACTCCAGGTGTAATAGTATAGAAGATAAGTCCAACACAAACTTCTCGGACGGACGGACGGACGAACGGAAGGACGGACGGAGTGCAAACCTATAGTTCCCCCTGGGAATCGGTAGGGGATTTATATTGATCATGATTTCTTTTCAAAGTGACCAAAAGAAGGTGACCTTATGTTAATACTTTTTAGGTGAATGCCATGAAAAAAAGGAGGGTGATATTAATTTATTGAAAATCCTGGAGGATAAATAAAATGTATGTACATGTAGCCCTCGAGACGCTTTGGGAGGTAATGCTATTTCTGGGTGATAATTGATTTTCGCAATATCACTACGTTCATTGTAAAAAGGAATGGTTTATTGAGGACTATTTCAAAACATAAATCTATTATCAAAGTAAATTTAAGGATTTGAAGATCTGCCACATTATCCCCACTTTAGCGGTTGAGGACTTTTATACTTTGCAATTAACTCTATGATGATTATATGCATCGTTATAAATTTTACGCTCAAAGCAACTTGGGACGTATTTTACAATTTTTTTTTTTTAAGTTATTCTGAAGTCAAAAAGATAAAAACCTTCATTAGTGTAAGATATTCGTTAAAATATTTGTTAAATGATAACAATCTAAAGTATAGTTCAATTAAAGGTCAATATCACAAATAAAAATACAAAACAAAACAATATCTCTCGGAATGTAGTGTTTATGTAACACGATGCAATTATGTGATTCGTGCAAATAACGTTCCATGTCATTACGATAACATCAGATAATGAAGTTTTCTGTATTCAACTACATGAACATATGAGTAAGAAAAATCATTATAAAACATTTTTAAAATATAGTCATGTTCAAACGTCATGTTAACTTACATTCATTAGCTAGGTCACACGCTATAAACATGAATAGCAGGGTTATCACTCCAAAACCATACATGATGATGTACCTGCAAATAACAACGGATTCTGTTAATATACTATAAGTTTTACTATTATGGTATTTAATTAATGTATCAGGAAATAAAAGCGAAGGTATGTGTCTTCATTCTATTTGTCTCGCGGAACGGATGAATATCCAGTATGTCAGTGTTAATTTAAGACTTGTTAACCATGTATTAAAATAGTACTTATCATTGTTCATTCTGATATTATCGTCTTTTTAAAATATACCACGAGTTCCTTTATGTTTACTTTATAAATGTATTATAATAACGAACAAAGTCAACTGCACTTAATCTTCGCGAATGCATAGTTTTGCAGTTAGATTTGAATTTGCGGAACAGTGACTTTTCGATGTTCATTGTTACACGTAAATGGTATCTGAAACGATATTTAGTATCCATATAAATTGCAAAATGTCGAGCAAGAACTCTTAACTACAGACATACTTATAACCTGGCTCTACAATTTGTTTTTATTTCTCAGTCAATCAGATGACGTGATTGCCATCTTTAAATCAAAAAAATAAAATTGGCCTTTTTTTTCTTTCTATGTCTCAATCCCACAAAGTATCAACAAAGTCGGTCAAATAGGATTCCAAAGTTATAACCATTATTGTCTCAGGTCATCAGAGACCATAGCGGCCATCTTGATTCCCTAATTTTGTAAGTAGGATTTTATCTTAAAATATATTCCCTATGAATCGCTCGCATAAAAATTAAATATTCTGACTAATTAGAACTCCAGTCATATAGTGTCTAATAAAGCCTGCCACAACTGATTGCTATCTTATCAAGATAACCAACAGCTATTCAAAATTATTCGTATCATTAGTTCTATTTTTGTCTTACTGTTACCAAAGTGTCTAATACCAATCTTAAAAGGTGTTATCACCTGTGTGTGTGTTACTGTCATCTTTCAAGATACAAGGTAGTAAACACTGCTGGTAGATGCCTTGGTCCCCAAGGTGAGCCATTACGTGGATGGTCACAGTAATCTCTTTTGAGTAGTAGTGACATGGTTAATACACTTTACTCATTATGTAGTAGTGACATGGTATATACTACATGTACATACACTTTAATCATCATGTAGTAGTGACATGGTATATACTACATGTAAATACACTTTACTCATTATGTAGTAGTGACATGGTTCATACTACATGTAAAAACACTTCTAGTGACATGGTACATACTACATGTAAATACACTGTACTCATTATGTAATTTGAAATTAACTAGTCCGTCTGTAAATTTTGAAATTCATCACATAATGTTTTAATTTCTTTTTGCAAATTCATTTCTGTTTCAACAGTAGTTCAGACTAATGTCGACCCCAGCTGGTTGTCCCCGAGCATCACTAATGAGTCCTAGAAAGACGAATCAGCTGTATGATACAGTGTAATTCATTTTCATATTAACAAATTTGTAAAGGTGTAATCACCTGTGTACATAACGTGCAACTTTCGAATAGCAGAGTACATTTGCTGAATATGAAATATCATTGAATAGTATCAGACAAATGATAGGTTGTTGTGCGTTGGACGTTGCTGTCTACTCCTGTAGACCCCGAATGAGAAAAGAATACACCTGCTGTTACCAAGTATGTGTTGTAGAAGACAAGTAATGTAGAAACCATCGACACAATTTGGGATTTGTATTCGTGCCCTCAAAAGTAGGGTCAACGCCTGATGGTGTACACACTGTCCAACAGTCGACGTTTTAACCCGGTTCACTTGTTTAACGTTAAATTTGATTCTGGTCTGGTGGCAGTGCTAACTTATAAATACTGGGACGGATGTTGATGTCTAGTGATACATCTTAGTCGTTATTTTGAGTAGGATGTACGATCCTTCCGTACTGAGTAAATGTATGTGTAAAGGTGTAAAATTTGAGGTCGACGGGATTGCATGCCGTTAATGTTTTGCCTCTGTGTTCGTGTGTTGATCCCGATTTACGTACATTGTGTCCTTAGCGTTGTTTTATTGACTCTATGGGTCCAACCCTCATTTAGGGTGAAGGGATTTGAACGTTAGTTGGTCTGGAGCATCACTCTGTCAAACTACATCATGCTGTAAAACGAAAGTTGGTGGTCCCACTCCCCCTGATGCGGAGAGAACAGAAGATCAAAATGGAGATGTATCAATGGTTGGGTACCATACACAAAATTGCTACAACAGGAATTCCCGCGGGGTCCAGACTCGATCCTAAGGACTTAGTCACGTGGTCATAACATGGCAACAGTTCAGGTCACTACCCTATATACTAAGTGTAATGGTCGCTTTCATAATCTCATACGGAAAAATGCTACCACTTTGTGTGAAATGGAGGTCTATGTTTTTGATAGTATGCATTAATGTCCCTTGTGGGTTTTGTTGTCACTACCCGGGCTATCTGAGGACGTGACGGATCTTCCATGTAATGCTTTCCTTTGTTCAGACTTTGAACTAGTTTTGTCGATTTTAAGTCGAATCATGCTTTAGTCGACTCTTTGCTATGTTTTTTTTCTATAACCATATATGAAATTGCTTAGTAGGATAGGATTAACATTAAACTATAAGGATTGACCACAGGGTATGGCTTCGTTCTTGAGAGACTTAGTTCCTTGGTCATAACTTTGAAACGGTTGAGATCCCCACCCTTTAACCACATACACATTTACAGGGCAGGAGAAAAAACGTACGCAATCAAACTTCCAAAATCGGTTCAGATAGAAGAGCTCTGTTTATAACATAAATGTATTTAAAGTTCAAATAGATAATTATAACGATCTTTACTTAAAGATTAACATATTTGATCATACAAATGTACCATTAACCATGTTTCTCTCGAAAGTGTTTTACGAATGTTTTTTTTAAAGTGTACTTTCAAGTAAATATCGATCCATATTTTACGAATGAAAAAGTTACGCTAACATAAAAGTGACACATTTAGATCCGGTAAACATTTGTTGTGTAGTTTTCGACATCATAATACGAGTGGAAAATATTCTAAAACAGTTTATATATATATACCTGTTTCATATTAACAAAGAGATATTAGCCATTTGTTTGTTTTTTCTTATCAATTATTTTCATATTTGGTTTATTTTCACAAACATTTACGACACAATATCAGCACAAACACACACGTACCTACATACAAATGTACATACCTGTGCATCTAATAAAGTGATGTATAACACAATACTTTGATAACATTTACTAAGAAATGTTGGACACTTATTCATCTTATTTATTTTATTTTATTTCATTTTTATTTTCACAGACAAAAAAATAGAAACATAAAACAAATAAACATCCATGCATACATCTATTAAAGTGTTATATAGAAGAATACTTTCACAACATTTAAATAAGTTTCGAACAGACAGAAATGAAAATATTCTACAACATTTTATATATATACCTGTATCATATTTACTAAGGACTTCAAGACACCTTTTTATTTATATATTTTTTTCATTTTCATAGACATACACAGCACAAGGCTAAAATACCGACACAAACTAACACACACGTACCTATTACATAGTCTAATGAAGTGATGTATAGCACAATACTTTTATAGCATTGAAATTAGTTCAAATATGGAACAAGTATATATAAAACTGTTGTAGAATGACTTCTCTGTTCCAAATGATAAGCCAATTCAAATTATATCAATGTTTTGTGATATATATTACTTGTATAGTTTATGTGTGTAGTTATGTGTACGTTTGTATGTTCAATCAATCAATCAATCAATCAATCAATCAATCAATCAATCAATCCATCAACAAAATAAAATAAAATGTGTCAAACTTTAACATTCCTTTGTAGATATGCAACAGGTATATATTAAAAATGTTGAAGAATATTTCAATCTCTGTTAGAAATGATAAAATTAACTTCAATGTTATCAAAGTATTGTGGTATACATCAATTTATTAGATGTACAGGTATGAACATTTGTATGTAGGTACGTGTGTGTTTGTGCTGATATTGTGTCGTTAATGTTTGTGAAAATAAACCAAATATGAAAAAAAATGTTAAGAAAAAACAAACAAATGGCTAATACTTCTGTGTTAATATGTATAAAACAGGTATATATAAACTGTTGTAGAATATTTTCCACTCATATTATGATGTCGAAAAATACACAACCAATGTTTACCGGATCTGAATGTGTCACTTTTATGTCAGCTTAACTTTTTCATTCGTAAAATATGGATCGATATTTACTTGAAAGTACACTTTAAAAAACACATTCGTAAAATACTTTCGACAGAAACATGGTTAATGGTACATTTGTATGATCAAATATGTTAATCGTTAAGTATAGATCGTTAAAATTATCTATATGAACTTTAAATACATTTATGTTATAAACAGAGCTCTTCTATCTGAACCGATTTTGGAAGTTTGATTGCGTTCGTTTTTTCTCCTGCCCTGTAAATGTGTATGTGGTTAAAGGGGGGGGATCTCAACCGTTTCAAAGTTATGACCAAGGAACTAAGTCTCTCAAGAACGAAGCCATACCCCGAGGTCAATCCTTCATTTTTAATGTTAATCCTATCCTACTAAACAATTTCATATATGGTTATAGAAAAAAAAACATAGCAAAGAGTCAACTAAAGCATGATTCGACTGAAAAATCGATAAATTAGGGCCAACAAGGATTCAACGCAGTGCGTTAACTAACGCAGAATCAGCGGCTAACGACATCGTTACATTGAAGCTTAACGATAGTTTTGAACAACCGGGCCCTATCGTTAATACTTCTGTAATATTGTGTAGTGGTCATACTTAGCGATGGGATGGTTATATTTGGTGTAATGGTCACACCTTACATTATGTGGTAGTTATATTTGATGTAATGGTCAATTTTTCGATTTTTATAGTTATATTTGGTGTAGTGGTCAAACTTTCTAATGTGATGGCTAAATGTTCGTGTAGTGGTCACACGTTTTAATTTGATGGTTTCGTTTGGTCAAATGTTGACGCTTTCCAACGTGAGTGTTTCATTTTGTGATGTATTAGCCCAGAACTTACTAGGAGGTTTAAATGGTCCGAAGGTAATGGTTTGGTGCCGCAGATGGTCATTTTGAGAACCCGGACAACGCACGAGATCATGCATTATCTTCATTCAAAATTTGTATTTTTATCTTACGTATGTAAATGAGCATTTGTGTTGTATTATTTAAGGGTGCCTATTTTCAAATCCCAACTCGTGCATATGTGTTTTAATGAAAATGTAGTGATTCCAACCAATGCTTCTAATGAATGTGTAATTGAATTGAGCAGTCTTGTTCCACATGATTACTCTTGATTGACATGACAAACGCAGGCAATGAAATTGACATAGAATTGTTTTAGATTTCGCTATCATATCCTGTGGTACTATTACGCTGAAATATCTTATTTATATAAGTTTGGTGGTTGCACAATCATACGTGATGTTGGAATGCAATATATGTAGTTACGTAACCATGAAATGCTGTTTATATTGTGAAGGAATAACATAAACAACACAACCGATTTCATTTTTTTTTTTTTTAAATGTTTGGAAACTTTTTAACCAAGTGGTACTTCAATGGCGTTATTTCATTGTGCGATCAATTTTTATCGATGCTTTATATTTCAATAATACATTTGGAAACATGATAACTTGTGTGTATTACAGGTATGTTGATCGAGTTGTCATAGCAATATCGCTCTTTTCATCAATTTCTGTTATACGGTATTAATTATTTCTAAAATAAAAACTGCAGTCGAATGGAATATTGTATTACACTTTGTATGGGTGCGATACAATTACATGTGAATAATGACAAATTCAATTCAATGACTGGTATTTTTATAATCCTCGGTATAAACATACCAGGCTCTTCTGATAATGGTTTTCATATGTTAGAGTTGTCCTAACTCCAGATACTGTTCTAGGAATTTTTCGATAGATGTATTCTTTGGACGAACAAGCTGCAAAGCTTTCTATCTGAGAAGTTTAAGCTGAAATAATGTAATGGATGTCCTGATAACTCCCTTGTTTGATATTTTAACTATCTATTCTGATTGAAACATTTTAAGCTTGACATGGTTACTGCCCTACGCACATGACAGGATTAACCGAGGTACACTGGTTTTGTTTAGGTTTACAATAAATATCATATTTCTAGATGTCACTAAAGTTCCTTTTGCAGTCTGTTAGTATTGGCTTCGAGTTAATATTTTGTCATAGAAGAACGCCGTTTCGGATAGTTTTCGAAGACCAAATTGACATACCATCCTGTCTTTGTTCATCGACTTACGTCACGATCCCCATTCCTTGGTCTTTTGGCGCCGTATGAGAAGGCGGGTCCAATTCACCTTCTATGACGTCATCATTCCGTTTGTTATTTTTAGGATCAATGATCCGTTCACGATGATTCCCCACCCACGCAATGACACGGCCTTTCTCTGACATCATAATTTCGTTTGTAATTTCGTCAGGATTATCAAACGTCAACGTATTAACTGTGTCACAGTCTCTATGAATCATGTCGCCACCTTTCCGGAAGTAGGCGGGTCCACACGTCATATTTGCCTGACTCATAGGACTACGTGACTCTCCCATGACTCATGTCTCCAGGTCTCCGGTAGTAGGCGGGTCTAATTCACCTTCTGTGACGTCACGATCATTCGATCATTGGTCTGTTGGCGCCGTATAAGTAGTCGGGTCCAATTCCTCTTCTCTGACGTCATCATTCCGTTTACAATTTCGTCAGGATTATCAAACTTTAACGTATTAACTGTATAACAGTCTTTGACTCATAGGACTACGTGACTCTCCCATGACTCACGTCACCGGAAGTAGGAGGGTCCAATTCACTTTCTGTGATGTCACGATCGCTACCGGCCGATAAACTGCTTAATGATTCCTCGCCGCTATCGACCGATAAACTGATACCTGGCCGATAGCGTCGGATCGAACGAACGAACGAACTATGCAGCCGCTTTCACTGCATGTTAGTCAATGATACGATTTCTACAACATATATTTGTTTGAATAGAGTGGTCGTTTAATCTATGTTATAACTGATTAACCACAAATGTATAGGTATACCTAGACAATTACGGCACGATTTAAATTCAAATACATGATTGCTAGCGAATTGTAACCATAATCACGGAATCACGTAGTACGTGCAAATATTCACGGAAGAACTGTCCTACCACATATCGTAAATATGCCTGTTTGTTACATGAAATACCATATTATATTAGCAATGAATTAAGGCCAGATTTTGTAAGTGATAATCGTTCTGATGTGTATGTCCAATACGTGTCAGGACGGCGTTTTACAAATTTCAATCGTTCAAAATTTCCCACCTGAATGAACGCCATTTTGTAGGTCATGGAATTGACTAATCAACAAAGCGTACTGATCCGGACCGAAAATAGAAAATAGTATTCTTTGTTGTTGATAAGTCACCTCCATGATCTAGAAAATGGCGATCGTTCAGGTGGGAAATTTTGAACGATTGCAATTCGAGGACTCTGCTGGCGGAATTCAGCAGCTGTTGATAATAATAAGAGCTGATTTGGATCAATAAATAATCCATTTATCGATGTATGTGAGGTTTGTGTTTGCCATAGTAGATTTTTGTTATCAGCATCTCAATTAAAACTCTCCGATACCAAACGGTTTCGGACAATTTTACGTTTTCATAAACCACGGAATTATCTAAATCCGTGCATAAACATAGTAATTAGTGGGCTCTGGTCCCAAACCAGACGTCTATCTGTCAAACTGTTTTAGTCTGATGTCAGAGGCGGCGGAAACTCAGAACTGATTGCATGGTATTCAGAACATTGATATTAATCTAAAAAGTTGGTTAAACAGATACATATACAGATAGTTTATAATTTATTAAACGTTGGATAACCCCTGTAACCTGCGGCTATTGTTATTTCGAAGGTAAAGTTCATTCACAGGGACCCGGCTACAGTTGGTTTGTTTGGACCTATCCCGCTGTGTAAAGAATAATATCTCTCGAAATAAATGCTTTCCTCCTACCAACAACACCCGCGAAAATATTTAAGCGTCTCAAGTCGCAAGAACGTCTTTTGTCGGCGTATTTAGTATCTACCACGAAATCGTATAAATTAGATGTATCTCAACCAACACCCGGGAGAATGATTACTCCGACAAATCAGGGATAAGTCAAAACAAACATTATTGTAACTCATTCGCGGGTCCGTATAGTTTATAGTCTGTTTTTATACGTCTCTGATTTTGAATTATGAGACTGAAGTACAATGTCTGTTTTACGTATCGTTTTAATTTAATTCAAATCTTGAACAGGGAAAATATAAAGACGACCACTGTGCATGGGTGTGTATAGCTTCGGGTATATAATAATGAAAATGAAGATGAGTAACACTTACATTCCCTTTTCATTATGCATCGGAAACGTATGGTTGGTGTTTCTATCTGTATGCGTTATATATTTTTTTTATATCAATTGAAATCATATGAGCTTCAGATCACCAGTACCGTAAAAATTCCAAAAGTTTGTGGGGGTTGGGTTTGGCGGTATCGATGGCAACACCTCCTTACATAATGTACTAGAAACATCGTTCACGATCTGTTTGTTCCCTCCTAGGATTGTATTGGCGTTCACAATACATATCTTTTAGCGTTTCTGTCTCCAAAGTTTCTGTTGCAGTCTGTAACTTTTGGATTCGAGTTCATTTTATTTTTGTCATAGAGGGGTGCCTGTCCGGACGTTTTTCTAAGACCAAATTGGTATATGATCATGTTCTTGTCTGTAAAACTTGTACAAAGATTTCATTTTGCTTGTTAATTCAGAATTGACAGTAGTACCAACAAATGTTGTCTCAATGAGACTACCAAATATTAGCTATGTTTCGAATAATTAAGTAGCACTATGTGTAACATCAACAAGATAAAAATGGAAGTGACGTCACATAAAAAAATTAGTGATTTGCGCTGAAATCACTGAAATATGTGACATAAGTCTTCATTAATTTTTCTGTACGGGAACATGAATATGTTTCAAGGAAAGTTTACCATAAGACTTCGTTAATGTGAATTCCACGGGGTAATGCATTTGGTAGATCTTGAAATAATCTCATTACTATCTGGTTTGTAAACGAACTCAGTGGAATCGACAATAAGTATAACAAACGCCGTTAATAATATACAACTGGTCACTTCAGATTGGTGAAACATATGGTTACTTTTATATTCCTTCCTTATGTTGATTTGTTTTTCTTTCTCAATCTTATTTTTCTCATTCTTTATCCAAATTTGTTTAAAAATATTGGTGATCAAACATGCGTGAAGTACAAAAAGAACAAATCGGAAATTCAAAACAGAGAACAATAACAGGAACAGAGGAGACATAAAATGAAAACAGACAGCACCATGAACAACACATATGAACAAACAATCCTTCATCGTGCCTATCTCTTCCGCAAGGTAATGTCTTTTATATAAGTGACCTATACACTTCTGTTGTTGTCTTTAGGAACGAATGCCCTTTACGCTTGCATGTTAACGATGTATGTGGGTCCTGGCGATGCCTTTGTGTGTTAGGACGATGCCTTTGTGTGCTGTTCGATGTCTTTGTGTGTTGACGATGCCTTTGTGTGTTGACGATGCCTGTGTGTGTTAGGACGATGCCTTTGTGTGTTGATGATGTCTTTGTGTGTTGACGATGCCTTTGTGTGTTGTACGATGCCTTTGTGTGTTGATGATGTCCTTGTGTGTTGATGATGTCCTCGTGTGTTGACGATGCCTTTTTGTGTTGGACAATGCCCTTGTTTGTTGGACAAACCCTTGTGTGTTGATGTAGTTCTTGTGTGTTGACGATGCCTTTTTGTGTTGGACAATGCCCTTGGGTGTAGTACGATGTCCTTGCATGTTGTACGATGTCCATGTGTTATATGATGTCCATGTGTGTTGACGATGTCCTTGTTTGTTGACGATGTCCTTGTGTGTTGACGATGTCCATGTGTGTTGACGCTCTCCTTGTGTATTGACGATGCATTTGAGTGTTTTACGATGTCCATGTGTTATATGATGTCCATGTGTGTTGACGATGTCCTTGTGTGTTGACGATGTCCATGTGTGTTTACGATGTCCTTGTGTGTTGACGATGTCCATGTTTGTTGACGATGTCCTTGTGTGTTGACGCTGTCCATGTGTGTTTACGATGTTCATGTGTGTTGACGATGTTCATGTGTTTTGACGATGCCCTTTGTGTGTTATACGATGTCTTTATGGGTTGTACGATGCCCTTATGTGTTTTATGATATCCTTGTGTTTGAATGATGCCTGTGTTGTGTTGTACGATGTCCTCGTGTGTTGACGATGCCTTTGATTGTTGTACGATGCCATTGTGTGTTGAAAATGTCCTTGTGTATTGACGATGTCCTTGTGCATAGTCGATGTGTGATGACGATGCCCTTTGTGTGTTGACGATGTCCTTGTGTGTTGTACGATGTCTTTGGGTGTTGACGATGCCTTTGTGTGTTGTACGATGTCTTTGGGTGTTGACGATGTCCTTGTGTGTTGTACGATGTCTCTGTGTGTTGAAGATGCCTTTGTGTGTCGTACGATGCCCTTATGTGTTGATGATATCCTTGTGTGTTGACGATGTTGTAAATGTACGATACTTTTGTGTGTTGTACGATGTCTGCATGTGATGTACGATGTCCTTGTGTGTTGTACGATGTCCTTGTGTGTAAAACGATGTCTATGTGTGTTGACGATGTCCTTGTGCATTGTCGATGTGTTATGACGATGCCCTTTGGGTGTTGACAATGTCTTTGTTCGTTGACGATATGTGTTGACGATACCATTTGGGTGTTGACGATGTCCTTGTGTGTTGATGATGTTCATGTGTGTATAAACGTTACATTTGAGTGTTGTACAATGACCTGGTTTGCTGCACGATATCCTTGAGTATTGTACGATGTCATTATGGGTTGTACGATATCCTTGTTTGTTAACGAAGTACATGTGTGTTGTGTGTTGTCTTTGTGCAATGACGATTGCTTTGCGTGTTGACGATGCCTTTGTGTGTTGTACATGTACGATATTTTTGTGTGTTGTACGATGTCACTGAGTGTTGCAATATGTCCTTGTGTGTTGACAATGTCCTTGTGTGTTGACAATGTCCTGGTGTGTTGACAATGTCCTTGTGTGTTGTACGATATCCTTGTGGGTTGTACGATGTCGTCGTGTGTTGTACGATATCCTTGTGTGTTGTACGATGTCGTCGTGTGTTGAACGATATCCTTGTGTGTTGACAATGTCCTTGTGTGTTGTACGATATCCTTGTGTGTTGTACGATGTCCTTGTGTGTTGTACGATATCCTTGTGTATTGTACGATGTCGTCGTGTGTTGTACGATATCCTTGTGTGTTGTACGATGTCGTCGTGGGTTGTACGATATACTTGTGTATTGTACGATATCCTTGTGTGTTGTACGATATCCTTGGGTGTTGTACGATGTCCTTGTGTGTTGTACGATATCCTTGTGTATTGTACGATGTCGTCGTGTGTTGTACGATATCCTTGTGTGTTGTACGATGTGCTTGTGT